AATAACTTATGCCTTGATATTTTCATTGGAGTGTACCACAGATGTTTATTCATTGTTCATTCATGTTGTTTTTTGTTGGGTTTTTTTCCCCACCAGTGGCTGGAAAGTGTTCTATTCTTTGTATTTTTTGCTTGTTTAAAATACTGAGGTATACACTGCAGTTCTGTGAATGTGTCATATCCTGCTATGCTCCCTTGCTTATGTTTTTTTCTTGTGTGTGTCACTCAGTCATTCAGTGTTTCCTGTTTTATTTCACTTCACTTCCTGCTCTTACGTGCTTCCTGTCTGCATGGATGTCTGTCCTGCCTTGATTAGTTTCACCTGTCCCTCATTATTCTTTCCTCCCTATTGTATGTAGTCTGTGTGTTCCCTCCTCGCCAGTTTGTCTTTGTACCCAGTGTTAAGCATTCCAGTAATTTCCCCTGTATTTGTTTTGTCTCTGCTACTTTTCCTGACTTTAGGCCTGTACTATGAAGCAGGATTTCAGGTTATCGAGGTAACTTCAAGTTTAACTAACTAACTGTCAATCCTATGATGGTGGTTCACTTCTTACCAGGGTAAATCACCATAGTAACTTACGCTGAACTCCTAACTTGCTCCAACACAGGTGAACTTCAGAGGTTCAGATCAAAACCTGTCAACAGCCCAACAACTGACCAATCAGATACCTGGTATAACTGAGTCATCATTCCTACAGGATCCCAAAGTGAACAAAAGAGTTGACAATTAAGTGAAGTGATGATGAGCAGCAGTACATATTTTTATAAATATTTTTTTTATATGTTTTGCTGTTCCAGACCTTGCATGTGTTTTAAAAGAGAGCTTCTAACAAACAACTATTACAGCTTCATTTGACGTGAACAAAGATTCTGTAATTGGACAGTATTCTTGACAGTGATGATGCTTTTACTCTCTTCTTTATCACTGAAGCTCAGAATAACATGAGGAGACTCTGGAAGAACTTGAAATAAAAGCTAAAGCCTGTTATGTGTTTTATTAGAAAAATTGTTGAAACACTGTTAAATATTTCTCATGATTAAAAATGAATATTTCAGTCAGATTGACCTCATCAGTCATGAATTACTTCTCTCTCCACCACTGCAGAAACAGTCTGACAATAACTTTAACAGTTTTATCTGCATCACATGTTCATAACAGTTTGTTCATCAGACAAAAGAAAAAAATACCCACTAAGAAACTTCATGAGGATGCATGCTCTTATTTACAATATATCCTAAGTCTAACTTTAATAATTACAAATTATTTCTAGGGTTTCTTTTTATTCTATGTGATCATAGTCACCTTGTTAAATATCATTTTTGGATCTCAATATTAACATATTTACCCACAGATATCACTGTTTCTCCTCATATTAAGTACTTTATTCATGTTTCTGATAATGTTGCTCAAAATAATTTCTATACTTGTAGGTAATAAATTCATTGACATTCATTGTTGGTAAGAAGTTAAAAGGAAACTCAACGACTGTTGCACAGTAAAGAAGTCAGAGCTGAAACACACTGTGCTCATATTTAACAATTTAAACTAAATAAAGGGAAACATCTAATTGATTTGAGTGCAAACTTGTTTTGTGCTTTGGACTTCTACAGTTACATGTCAACATTTCAATGTCAGTGTTTGTAACTTTAGAATATTAGTTCAGAATGTAATTTAAGTGTCACAAAGAAAATAAAAAAAAATCTAAAGCATGAAATACAGATTTTATCACCTCTGTTTTCCACCAGCAATGACTTAAGAGTTTTACTGCCCTGCTGCACAAAACGATAATACCATATCCAGTTTAGAGGACTAGTTAGTGGGATTTAGTGGCATCTAGTGGTGAGGTTTCAGATTGCAACCAACTTACCTGACCTGGGAGCCATGTAAACTATTTTAAAGTATAAAATAGTATGACTTGGCTGAATACTTGATGGTTATTATTTACTGAGAGATGTAGTAGTAGTAGTAGTAGTAGTATGCCCCACTAATCAACATTTTCCATCTTGCATTAGTCCACAGTTGTAACTGAGGGCCCTTGCATATTTTACATTGCCCTGTGTGACTTGTGTTTTGAGTGTAAAGGGCTGCCTAATTCTGTTTAATGCTCTCTTATGGGACATTTCTAGTGCTCCTAGGGACCCTCTGGTGCCCTTTATTTACTTAATGTGCTAATGCATTAGCCCTGTTCTGCAACCGACTGAATATCGTTCCGTTCATAACCGCATGTAGGAGAATCTACAGTGGCCTCCAGGTAATGTAAAAACATGAAAGGCCCTTTCTAGGGCCAGGGTTTAGTTTGTCCTCTCTGGGCTACTGTGAATAAGTGGCAAACCGTGAGAGTTAGAACTGGGTTTTCAACTCAATGCTGCCCATTGTGTCCCCACAATGTTCTTTGAGTTTTCACCCCAGGAGGGTCAAATGCAGATAGTGAGTGCACCTTTTCAAAAAGCCAATGACAATATCCCCTATGTGATAGCTCTGGCCTTGAGCCTGTGGGAAGACCTAGGGCAGTGATATTTGCTCCCATCCTCTGTAAATCAAAATGTGATTAGAGATTAGAATTAATTCACTTGCCATTTTCAAAACAAACACAAGCAGCAGTGGGGGTTTCAGGCCTTCTGTTCCACTTATGAAGTCCTAACCAATGAGTGAGCCAGCAAAGCTTTTCTCTGCCTAGAGACAACAACAACAACAACAAAAAAGAAAAATCTCATTGAATATCTATATTTTCATGGTTTTCTCAAGCAAATGTAATAGAAAATAATGCCAAAATTAGGACTAGAAGAGAAAAATTTAATGAAAGAGATAGGCCCTGACGCTTCCCCACTGCAGTAGCTACAAGGTGGGCTCTGTGGATGAAGACCTGGTCCCTATGTAGATATGAAAGGCTTATTATAAGCTAATGAAAACAAAATTATTCTTAGTTGTAGGTGATTAGACACAAATGAAAACATAATTATGAACATTATTATTCCATTCCTGCCAATAGATCTCCCAAAATCCAACACACTGGTTCTTTAATATTATTGCTGATCAATATTATTGACTTGTTCAGTTGAGAGACTTGTGGTTCTATCATCTCAACTTTTAAAACTTGTGCAAACCCTGTTTATTATTATTATGTTCAAAGACACCCTGTTTGATAATTAATTGCAAATGGATTTGGGCCGCTATATACAAAGTTATAAGACATCTGGTCAGAGTAGAAATCAGTTTGTTAGTGATTATAAATATAGAGCTGAGGTAGACAAGAGAAATGTACAAACTTTCCCATAATCTATACATATACTCCATACTAAAAAAAATGAATTTATGGAGTAAACTGCTGTTTGTTGCCTTGAAAGTAAATAAACAACATATGATATATTGTGGCTACTATTGAATTGGGTTTGCTTTAATTTGTCCTCCCTGTTAAGCACACTCATGCCCTTTTATTCACAGAGAGTGAATCCATCTTTATACATACATAATGGTTGAAGAAATCAACCAGAAGACCTGAAATATCAAATCAGATTAAGTTTAAACCTCTTTTAAATTGTCACACTTTATACTGTTATTAAACGAGGCATATTGAAAGAAAATTATGTATTATTTGTGGCCGAAGCTTCCCTTACATTTCTTCCAGTCTGGTTTCATCCATTGGTCTCTATAGTGAGTCTGCTCTCAACCTCAGTCAAAAATCTCGGTCAGTTATTTACAGATGGATTATTTATTTAATACACACAAGCTTTAGCTGAAATGAAAGACATGTCATTTGGAAATGAAAGAGAGGCCAACAATTCATAACCCTAAGCTATAATAACAACTTGTCCTGTGGTTTTGGCCCTGTACCCGACAGATTAATTGTATAAACCTTGAAGTAAACTATGGATTTCAAACCTATTTACTTGGGGAATTAGAGCTTACACATACTTTGCTGAAACACCCAAAACTCACAATGATCCTAGTTTATACTACTGAAGTATGTACCCAAGAATCATGAACTGACATATGCCAGACCACAACATCAGTCTCTAAATCAGCAGAGAAGAGCAGCTAGTGCCTATTAGTGATACCTCTGTGTGATGTGCCCGTTTAATAAATGCTGTGTAAGAATGGCAGTTTGACTGCAAGTTATTCTGCAATCTTTCATAGAAAATAAATCAGTAACTACTTGTGTCCCCTCAGCATAGGGGATTGCCTTATGTGTGGAAATGAGTTGTGAGCAATTCAACCAATTTAATCACTGGCATGAATTTAACAGCCAGAAGAGGTAATATTATTACCAACAGTATTTCATAATAAGAAAATCCAAAATCAGTGGAAAAAGGGTCAGATAATAACTTATAAATACACATTTTTGGTAACAAAGTATTTGTTCTCTTTTTTGTTTTCATCTTGTGACCATTCAGATTTATTTTGAGACCCTTTTGGTTCCTGGCCCCCAGGCTGGGAACCACTGTAACATTCAAACATAAACCACAATTTGTGAAGTGAAATGAAACAGGCCTTTCAGTAAGACAACATACTAAAATGAGCAACATCACTGCAGTAGAAACTAAAAAAATTAATTGGTCTATTGTAAAAAAAAAAAAAATGAAAAAAAAAAAAAAAATGAAAAAAAGAAAAGAAAAAAGAGCAATTTGAGAAATAAGGAAATAGGAAAATAAGCACAAACACGCACTAACTATTGAAGAGATAAGCTCAGTGTCATTGTTTCTGCGGTGTAAAAATTATTATTATGAGACTCTGAATTTACAGCTGATATGCACAGGCCTGGTCTAATTGTACATTGTCCAAACTATCTCAACAGCGATGTTGTGCAGTAACAACATTATATATAATCAGTGATCACTGTTATGATCAGTGTTTTCGTAATAACAGGCTGTTGTTAGCATATGTGTAAAGTGTTGACTGGGGGCTAACTCCTATCCCGTGTTATTACACAGCAGTATTTGGGGTGGCGCGCCTGTCGCCCGACTGTTCGCTGGTCGGAGGCTTCTGCACAGAGATGGCAAGAGAACCGTAGCAGACTGTAGGGCCTATCCGGTTGGGTATTCTACCGACAACCGTAACGTTAGAGAGGCGCAGAGCCAGAGAGAATAGGAGAGGAGCTGGACAACGGGCAAGGTAAAACACGGCTGTTTATGTGACTTAAACCACTAACGTTACCGACGGCTGTCTTACCATGTCAGAATGAATTCATGGCAAGTCTGTTTTCACATGAGCCAAACTGTTTGACTAGCTCTGTGATGGCGGACAACTAGCACAGCTGCTAAGTAGCTAAGTTAGTTAGCACACCGACTAGCTGGCAGCAGTTGGATAATAGCTAACTTGGCTAAGTTTGTAACGTCAGCTGGCAAAACTAACCGTGTCGGGGACGAAACCAACACACTGAGAGTTTCATTTGTGTGCAGACATTACCATCTGGTTAGCCAGCTGAATATCGTAACGGTGGTTAGGACAGGCAGCTAACGTAAGCTAGTTACGCCAACAATAACACGAAACTGGGGTTTTCTTTAGCTAACTGGCTAGTTTATTGGTGGCTCAGCTATCTGATTTTAGCTTTGGTTGCATACTAATGCCAGTACATGGCTAAATGTCGTTAGCCAGCTTTATGTGACAGATGCTGCTCCTATGCAAACACAAGTTTACCAAACATTGGGTAAGATTTTAGACGGTTACTACCCGAAGGCCAGTAGTTATCTGTTAACTTAGTGTTTAGTTTATGAGCTAACGTTAGCATGTCAGTGGATTATCCAAAGTCAGCCAGTGTGCGTTAATCGTGTACGAGTTTGTGTGTTTATGATCAGTGTTTTCGTTTAAAATAACAGGCTGTTGTTAGCATATGGCCTATGGATAGTTTGAAAGTGTGAGCAGTCTACTCCTTTATTGTTCAACAACCCATGGTCTTGTTTACTGAATTTTGTCATCTGAAGAGAAAAAAAAAATCATTGGTCACCTTTTAACTTTTAGAGGTGTTGACATGTCAGGTCTGTAAGGTGTTTCTTTGGTCACGCACAACTCAGGTCTGAGTTAAGATGCAGGTAAACATGGGCCTGTCATGAGGCAGGCACACTGCTATTTAATGCAGCTTTGCTACAACATATCAGTAGCGACCCTTTTATAAATACTGGAAGGGAACAATATAACGCATGAACTGCTACAGTCCCTGACTGGCAAAAGTAGAGTTTTGAGCACAGTGTGCCACAGGAGTAACCTAGTTAACATGGACTCAGCTAACACCTGATGGGTATGCCTATCAATTATGACTAGGCCCAATTGTCTTACATTCCCCTATTTTATGGATATACAGAGAGAAATGGTCAAACAGGACTTTGTTATAGTGGCTGTTGTAGGTTCTCTGTGCACTCTTGCGTATTGTATTTCAGGACCATTGGGTGTCCTGGTTTGGCAGCTCAGGCAATCACATACTGTACACAATGCATTCACAAAGTATTCAGACCCCTTCACTTTTTTCACATCTTGTTATGTTGCAGCCTCATGCAGAAATTGTTTAAATTCATTCATAGTTCATAAATTCATTCATAAATCTACATTCAATATCCCACAATGACAAAGCCCAAACAGAATTTAAGAAATTTTAGAAAATTTATTGGAAAGGAAAAACTGAAATAATACATTGGCATCACACCTTTCACTTAGTACTTTAGCAGCAATAACAGCCTCGTTTCATCTTGGGTATGACACGACAAGCTTTACACATTTGGATTTTCTGCCAGTCTTCTCTGCAGATCCTCTCAGGCTATCTCAGGTTGGAAAGGGACCATTGGTGTTCAGACATTTTCAGGTCTCTCCAGAGATGTTTGATTGGGTTCAAGTCAGGGCTCTAGCTGGGCCACTAAAGGACGTTGACAGAGTTGTCCTCAAGCCACAACTGTGTCGTCTTGGCTGTATGCTTAGGGTAATTTTCCTGTTGGAAGGTGAATCTTTGGACCAGTCTGAGGTTCTGAGTGCTCTGGACCAGGTTTTCATGAAGGATATCTCTGTACTTTGCTCTGTTCAGCTTTCCTTCAACCCTGACCAGTCTTCCTGTCCCTGCTGCTAAAAAGCAGCCCACAGCATGATGCTGCCACCACCATGCTCCATCGCTGGGACAGGTCATGGGGGGGCCTTGTTTCCTTCAAACATGGTGCTTAGAATTGAGACCAAACAGTTCAATCTTAGATTCATCAGACCAGAGAATCTTGTTACTCAGTCTGAGCCCTTTGTGATATTTTGCAAACTCCTTTCATGTGTCTTCACCAAGCAGAAGCTTCCATCTGGCCAGATCTGTGAAGTGCTGCAGTGATGGTTGTCCTTCTGGAAGTTTCTCCATCTCCACACGGGATCTCTAGAGCTCAGCCAGAGTGACCATCAGGTTCTTGGTCACCTCTCCTACCAAAGCCCTTCTCCCCTGATTAGTCAGTTTGCCCGGGCAGCCAGTTCTAGGAAGAGTCCTGCTTGTTCCACACTTCTTCCATTGAAGAATTATGAGACCACTGTGCTCTTGGGAACCTTCAGTGCGTGGTTTTTGTGCTGATATGCGTTGTCTGCTGTGAGATCTCATATAGACAGGTGTATTCCTTTCCAAATCATGTCCAATCAGCTGAATTTACCACAGGTGGATTCCAATCAAGGTGTAGAAACATCTCAAAGATGATCAAGAGAAATGGGAGGCAACTGAGCTAAAGAGTCATAGCAAAGCATCTGAATAATTATGTCAATGTGATATTTCACTTTTTCCTTTAAAATAAATTTTTAAAAAAATGTACAATTATGTTTTTTCTTTGTCATAATGGGATATTGAGAGTCAATTGATGAGGAAAATAATTGAATGAGTTTAGCATGAGGCTGCAACATAACAAAATGTGAAAAAGGTGAAGGGATCTGAACAATTTCTGAGTGCACAGTATATTGATGCCACACTGGGAGGGAGCTACTTATAAGACGCAGCAACTTTTGCTGGCTGGCTCTGAAATATACTATGTTTGTGTAGTCTCTCAGTCTTTCTCTCTCTCTCTCTGTCTCTCGCACACTGACCTTTGAACAGCAAGAAAGCAGCTGTGGGGAAAGCAGGAGTAGTAGTCTGCCACCACTGTGTGAAGCTAATGTGTCATGCCAACATAAATAAAAGTTGTGAGATTTAAAAACAGCTCCTGATTGTTGTTGAGATGAAGGGGAGCTGGGTTAAAGTTTGCTTTTCACTTGAACTTTAAAGAGCCTGTGCTGTTTTTTTGGAAATTGGAAGCACTTTGGCTAAATTTAGGGTAGACTGCTGCAGAGGGACCTTACGTGGTCTATGGACTAATCAAAAGCTTGTCCTGCCTCCTGGGATTATAAAATTGACTTTTACTTTTTCCCCCAATTTTGTGGGCCTTGGGTGTGTGCTTGAAGGGGAGTTCAATCCCCCTGGTGACCTGACCTCCCCAGTGCAGCTACCCTAATATTGTGTATGTGTTCATGTTAAATTGGTATGTGTGTGTGAAATTAGAGAACCTTAATACTCTTTGTATGAGCCCAAGTTTGAAGGTCTGTCAACAACCTTTCTCCAAAGAAGCTTTGGCATTATGCAGAGACATAAACACAGTGGCAGTGAGATGAGTGCTAACTGTTTTGTAAGCAAATCTACCCATACAGCACCACTGTTGGCTTCTACAGGGTGACCAGCACAATTGACAGGATAAGCAACCAGTCAAACATTATGATAAAAGGAAAACTGAAGCGAACCTGCGATACAAGGTTAAATATTATTGTACAGGTTGCTCTTTTTAACTCGTTTTTCTCACCAGGGCATGTGATGATCCTACGTATTTAATGTTCATTATCTTTTGGAACTGTAGCAATTGAAATTCTCCCTCTAGGGCAAACAGGCATTTTAGAAAAAAAAAAAAAACTGTATTTAGACCTCCATGCATATTGATAGAAAGCCAAGGGCCTTTTGATTCAGATCAATTCTACAAACAACAATTGTCTTCATTTTAGATTAATCTGCTAATCACTTAAATAAATACCATAAATTGTTTAATCAATAAAATATCAGAAAATGGTGAAAAATCAAATGCTCAGTTTCAGTCACCATTGAAACTGTAAATAACCACCTTTTTACAAACCAGTGTATTTTTTGGCAGTTTGTGTTACTAAAACATTTGATCGATTATTAAGATAATTGGTAATTGATTTTCTTTTTATTATTTAATAAATGAAGTGACAAATATTGCAGCTCTTATCCAGACATGCTGTTGCTAGTTTGTATAGATACTGTTTTACTTTGCGGAAAAATCGATTCTCATAGGTCCATATTAAATCAGATTTTATTTAACCTGGCATAAAGAGGTCTAACTAGGAAATGGGAATGCCTTGCTTGTCCATTAAGTCAAATTACATTAGAGGAAAAATTGCTCTTTCAGACCACATACAGTACGTATTGCAACAAAGAGCTGCTGATGAGCTGATGACTTGACCTTTGATGATAATGTTGCTGGTAGTTGTTGGGGCTCAACGTGCTTAGGCTGTATAAGTTAGTGCATTTTAACATATCTGCATTACTTAATGGATACTGACTTTTGCACAGAGTTGTTATTGTGACTAATGTGCTGACAGTGGTTTAGTTTCCTGAAGTCTTTCATACATAAATGTATCACATCCTTTGTCTCTGTACTGTTGACTTGTCTTATCAGACAAGGGAGTTAAAATGTCTGGAGTTCTGTCTGGCCTCTTTTAGAATGCTGGTAGTTCAGATATTATGAAGATTGTATTATTTTTGTATAACTCGCTCTTAGGTATTTCTAATTTTGTTGTCAACATTCTGGGACTGATTAATATGTTTGTTTCTGGCAAATTAAAGAATTTATGTTTGTTTTCTTTTTTCAATATGTGTGTTTTTAAGCATCAAGCTCTTCATTAAATTATGCCACAGAGTCTGCTGGTCAGTTAGAGCCACTAATTTAAGAGTCATGCTTAAATTAAATTTAATGACTTTATTGGGGATGCCCCAAGCTGATCTGCCAGATCAGTATTTACAAAATGAACTACATTAAGAAATAGTTTTAAGACACTCATCATTAATTGAGAGCTTTGATTCAGTCTGTATTTCTTAAAGCAAAGCTACTCAATTATTTTTCTTAGATTGGTTTTAATGTGCTTAAAGTGTGTAGGTTTTAGCTCTTACAGACTGCAAGAAAATGAAAAACATTATATTGGCAATGATTGGGATCAAAGCGTGAAAAAATTGAGTAGGACGTCCCTAGTGTGCAGCACACTTGAGTTGTATGTTGATTGTGGGAATACTCTGTAGCACCCAGAGGAAATCTACATTGACACAGACTGATGTACTTCAGGATTCAAGGCTTAATAAAAACAATGTTTTGTTACCAATGGAGGTATATAGTATGTATAATAGTTATAGTAGTAGTAGTAGTTGTGTGTGTGTGTGTTTGTGGGTATATGTTTTTTATTTTTTTTTATTTCACTAATTAACAAAATAGGCAAGTCTGTTTAAGAGTGAACTTCAATAGATCAATTGAAATGTGTGGCGGGTATATCTAAGTTTGATAAAAAGAAATATGATTTATGGAGCCTAATGGTTAAGGCACTTTAGGACCCTTGTTGCATGTTTAAAAAAAAAAAAAGAAATACAGTTATAGAATTACGTTGGTTTCTGAAGGTTACTGTTGTCCACTTCTGGTAATAATCAGAGATAGTCATGTCTGATTATATTCAAAATTGTTTTATGTGAGTGATTACTACTAAACTATACTTTTGACAGTTTTACTCTGCAGTAGTCTGACCTAACATAAACATAAACTACACAGACTGATAAGGTGCTCCACAGTGCCAAATCCTGAAGGTCGCACTGCAGTTTGAAATTAATATAATCTACTTAAAGATACACTGTGATATTTTTGATCACTAGAGGCATCATGAAGGCAATGCTTTGACGATCAGATACCCATTTTTTTTTCTACTTGCATACGGACAAGGACATGCTATTTAGTTGACTGATGGTTGTTGGTGGTAAAGAAATGTAATAATGTGCCAACAAAAAGCATGGAAGAAGACAGGAATGATGCAGTTTCACTGAAATGCTACGTACTGTGTTTAATTTTGAATCTCAGTTACAGAATCAGTATCATCCATTTCAATTTGGTGTTTTTGACAGCCAAGTGCAGAGATAGAGATTAGATTAGGGCAGAAACAGGTGGTCGATTAATCCATTAATAGTTAATAAGTTAGACAGAATTAACCTTGAACACTTCTGATAATTGATGAATCATTTCATTTCATTTACTTAAATTTCAAATATATTCCATAGAGTGTAGCATATTTATACAGTATATATATATATGTATATATATATATATATATAGACGTATGTATGTATAATGTATATGCTACACTCACATATTGACCCGCGTGTGCATATCAGCAGTTCCAGGGGTACCAGGGGCCAGTCTATTGTCTGGCTAATAACTGTTCTTGTTATTCATTTGTCAAGACCCTAGAAAATAATGGCCGATGACTGCTGGAATGTGTCCCCTTCCCACCATTTATTCCCTAGTGTTTCCTTTTTTCAGTTTTAACTGTCACCTGCTTACTCTGTATGAGAAGTTTCTACGGAGGGTCTACCATGTCTTTATTGTGAGGATCGGTTGTGTTGCTCAAATATTGATTTCATTGTTGTGTGATGCCCTCTTTTGTCTCCCCATAGGTGTATATTGAAATTGGAGATCAAACTCTGATGGTAGCATAGCTGGCATGTCAACAAAATTCCTGCATTTGTTACATGCTAAGCCTTGTATTTTCTTTTTCTTCTATGTACCTATTCTTAAAAAAGGATGACGTTTTTTTAAAGGACCAGTTTCTAGGATGTAATAGTATCTAGTGGTGAGGTTGCAGCTTGCAACCCACTGAATACCCCTCATTTCTTCCTGTCCAAGCGTGTAGAAGAATCTACGATGGCCTTCAGATAACGTAATAACATGAAAGGCCTTCTCTAGAGCTAGACTTTGGTTTGCGCATTCTTTTCTACTGTAGAAATGTGGAAGAGGACACTCCCTATGTTGATATTAAGGTCTCATTCTAAGATAATGAAAATGTTGTCTTCAGCTTGTTGATTCGTTATGTTCTTTTGGTCCTTAGATGAAGAGCTATTACTCATACAACTAACTATAAATTTTATAACTCTTAAAGAAAGTATTTTCATAACATGCATCTTAATTTTGTAGTTTGACCCTGATGTTCATGCATGATTAAGGACAATAAAAAATATGTGCTTTATATAAGGGTTTCCTATATATAATAATGATAATAATAATAATGATTAATAATACAGTTACAGTATAGTATAATCAGTATATTCATACTGTAATCAGTTTGCATGAATGAAAATCAACATTTACTGACAAATATTAATTTGGTTTTGGTTTTTTAATTTTATTGTATTTAGTGTAAATTTACATGATATGACTTAATTTGTGTAGATTATATTATGGAAATATTACATGGTGCTAAAGTCAGACTGCCCCCGTGACTTTTACAGAAAAGTAAACAAGTTGACTTGTAAGATGGCCAGCACATATATGGATTGAAGTGTATGTCTAAAATGGGCTGAATAAGCACTTTGCCAGCATTGTGGTATTGATGCTAGATGACCTGGCAACAAGATGGTGAAAAGAAATCGTACTAATTATACTGTATCATTTTGCTCAGAAACTGTGTTTTATAGATCCACGGCTCACAACAGAACATAGCACATGGATTTTAAGAGATTAGACAGGTTTTGAACAGGTTCAGTTTAACCCAATTATCTGCATCACTAGCTGAACAGTGAAAACAATGCTGAAATGCCCTCAAACTGTTCATTATATGTTTTTGTGTTTTACATTGCAGAAACTCAGTGTTTGCATAACAGGTTATAGTAGAACCAGGAAGCAACAAACTACATTTTGTGTGATTGCTTTATGAATATCAAAGGGGCAAATTGGGTTAGGGTTAGGTATCATGAACCAGTTCTGAACTGGAACCAAGAACAAAGAATTTGTTGTATGGTGTTTACGTTGTGGCAAACTGAAGCTAGTGCTCACAAATGTGGCTGACCTTCAGAAAAGGCAGTAGTGACAGTAAAATGTAATCACTGCACAAAAATAGTTTTACTGAAGGAAGAAGTCAGTTTATTGCTGTGACTGGAGTTTTTCCCTGGTAAAACAAGCATCAGTCATTTGTAGGTGTGATTGGTGATGAAGTGAGGATCTAGGCAATTTTGCAACTGTAGAACTTAAAGGACTTTTCACATAGTGTCTTAATCATTCCTCCATGTTGGGGAAGTGAAACCATTGTTGCTATGTTATGAGATACAAACTAACAAACTGGTGTCTTAATCAGAGGCTAGTTTGCACCAGTTATGCTGAGCCTTGACCTAAAAATTAGCTCTTTTTTGTTTCAGAGGAACCATGGGACATGGAGTAGGCTGAAGCAGAGGGTCTAGCAGCACACACCAATTGTGAGTATAAGTGAGTTTTTTGTTATTTTATTTTATTTTTTTACAACATTATGCTTATGTAGAATTAATATATTGATAGATGATTAAAGGAAGATAAGTTTAAGAATGTTCAGGCAGAGCGTACAATGTTTTGGAGTCAAAATAAGAAAGGAGGTTGAGCTACTGTCCTCCAAAATCTTCCTGTTCACCACAAGACAGATAATAAAACATCCAGACAAGTAGTATGGATAAAGCACAATCATGAGCACAAGCCAAAGCAGCATTGGACTCACTCAGATCAATTTTAGATTGATTCTTCTACTGTGGTGTTTGTTGGAGAAAATGTTCAGAAAATGCTAGCGGCTCCTAAAACTTCTCTGCTGTATTGGAACCCTGCTGAGTTTGCCTGTTTCTTATTTGTAAATTTACAGGGTATATGCCTTGTGTGTTTGATGTTTGCTTACAATTGCAATATTTTTTTAGACATACATGGCATTCTTGAGGTGTTCCAGCCTGGTTTTAAAGGCCTTCGCAGCACTAAAGCTGCTCTTTTAAGAGTTTTTAATCATCGTTTATTAGCTGCTGACTCCAGGGATTCTGCCATTATTATGCTTTTAGATCTCACAGCTGCATTCAACACAGTAGACCAAAGTATCCTCATCTCTCGCCTGGAGCATTATGTTGCATTAAAGGTATTACTCTGGAGTGGTTCAGGCCGTGTCTTGTCTGGCAGAAGTGTTTCTATCAGCCTCGGTGACTCTCTCCTCCTCAGCACCTCTCATTTGTGGAGTCCCTCAGGGTTCTATTGTCAGGCCAATCATATTTAACCTGTACATGCTCCCCTTATGGACCAATCTTAGAAAGTATGGCATCTTGTTCCACTGTTATGCAGATGGCACTCAAATTTACCTGCCTTTGAAACAGAATGAGGAAAATGCTTTAAAACCATTGTTGGACTGTTTCAAGGACATCAGAGCTTAGATGGCCTCACATTTTTTTTAAATGTTAATGATAGTTAAACTGAAGTGCTGATATTTGGATCCAATGGTGCCTGTGATGCCCCTCATATTGACCTGTGCTCCCTAGGTGTGATAATACACAGTGATATTACACAGGGCAGATTGTGTCTTTGTGGTTGTAAATTTTAAATCCGGTCTTAAAACACTTCTTTATTCCCTGGCTTTTCACGGAGTAAGAGAGTTGCTTTTGATTGTTTATGGTCATAATGCTTCTATTTTATTGTCTTTTTTGTGTTTTTATTGAGTTGCTTTATGGGTTTTATTATTTTGATTGTCCATCACTTTGGTCAACTCTTATTTTTAAATGTGCTTTATAAATTTATTTTGACCTGACTTGCTTTGTTTTGTGTGTGTGTGTGTGTGTGGTTTTGAAGGTTTCCCACTGTGGTGTATGACATGGCCACGGCCTCATCCAGAGCAGAGTCTAGCCATAACCACAGAGGAACGACACAGCTTCATGCCATTGGTGAGTTCACACACAGCAGGCTGGGAGTGGTGGCATGGCTTCAGGGTCTTTACCCTGTCCCTCCCTCAGAGAGCTCACACTGAAGCACTGTGTTAGAAGGAATTCCTGTGTGACGAGGTTTTTCCTAATGGGATCAATAACATATCACATCATTTAATCTGAAAATCTGAATAAGTGTTAGCTGCATAGTGACATTATAAGATGTTGCTTCGTTCATGTGCTGCCAGTTTCCTGTGCCAAAATCAAGAGGAAGAAGAGCCTGTTTGGGACTGCCATTTATGTGGAGGTGACAGCAGAAGGGGAGTCGCGCCGTACAGCGAAGTCTCACAGCTCCTCCAGTCCTAAATGGGATGAGAGGCTCACTCTGTAAGAAGCAACAATTTGCCTACTCTTTCTTTGCCTGTGTGTGTGTCACAATGTGTTTGTTAGTTTTTTTTACCTTAATGCTACATTTTCTTGGTCTTCTCTCCATTTTTCTTTTTTATAATCTGTGTCCATGATCACATTGTGCTCCAAAATTGAGTGTGTGGGACAATAACCCATGAATCCCCAATCATTTTATTGTTTGGAGAAGATAAAATGACAAACAAAATGTGGGTTGAGACTACCACAAACACCTGCCCTCTCATACACCCCTTAATCAGAAGGTTCCTAGAAGAAGTGCTGATTGCCAAGTGGCCTATGCTTATATTAAAAACTGTTGAGAGAGAAAAACAGCCCTCTCCTCCTTTCTAGGGGGTCTTTTAGTGAGTTAACGTATTGTATATCTTATGAAATAAGCCTAGGACTGTTGAAATACGTTTAAAAAAAAAAGGTATTCTTTTGAAATTCTAAATATAATGACCAAAAAACCCTCAGGTGGCTCATCTGATAATTATTAGAACAAGGGAAAATGCTGTAGAAGAACACACAGAGCTCTTTGTGTCATTTGAGACACTAGTGGAGCCAGCAGCCTGAACATGGCAGACGTTTACAGGCTCTCTGGCTTCTGAATGGCTCTGCCAAATGCCAGAGACATGTCATTGTAAATGCTAATTGTCTTGATTGGGTAATTATCACTGACAAGCCAGTGTGCAGCTGTATTTGTGGTCTTGTGTGCGCACCATGGATCATTTGTAAACTGTTCTTGGTCCTACACATGGCGCTTAGGCTATAATCCTAGATATTTCTCTTTAGGCTGATGCGCTCAACCATGAGCACAATGACTTTGCCTGTGTACTGTTCATTTTGTGTGAGGACAGAAAACACAAGAAAGCAGCATTATGTGAGCTGAGTACATCAGTCGCTGAGCCTGCAGCAAGGACAAATTACTCTTTTGAGATTTTTTGAGGGGGAGCAGATGTTGAAAAAGGGAGAAACTAGAAGACTGAGAAGCATCTCATAAAATAGTTGTTTTCTTTGTCGCCTTTTTTCTGTTTTGAAGGGGAGCACATGTGGAAAGGAGGAGCTGGTGAATGATGGTTTTATTTGTTAAATGTGCACAGTAGTAAGTCTTCCTCTTTGCTCTCCACACTCATAAATGTATTTATTGGGCTTGGGAATTCATCCTTTATAGTTATGTATTCTGAAATTATACTCAAAATCAAGAAAGAGTCTTTGTGCTTAGTGAATCCACACCTGATGAGTACACCAGTGCTAAATACATATCAGTGTTACTTTGTATACTACTACTGCAGGAAAAGAGGCACGATGAACCGATGTGAGTTGCGTTAAAAGTTGTTTTAAGAATTACATGTGATGTTTGTGTTTGTTTGTGTGTTCCGGATTATCTAGGAATGTAACACCGCACACACATGTGGATTTCAAAGTATGGAGTCACCACACCCTGAAAGCAGATGCTCTGCTGGGCAAAGCCACACTGGACCTAATGCAAGCCTTGGAGCAGCATGACAGAAAATGTATGATTACAGTATAAATACAGAACTGTATTATAATAGAAAAGAAGGTGTATGGTGATCATGCGCATATACAGGTGTTGTACAGTTACTGCAGTACCACAGCAGATTCAATAAAGTATTACTTAATTAGACTAGGCAACATCTGAGCTTTCTGTTTTGAACTTTTTGCTACATACACATTGTTATCAACTCTTCCAATGACCTTATTTTAAAGTACAGTATAAACAGAATAAACAGAGAATAAAATTCTAGAAATGTCAGATGATTTTAGAGTCTCCAAGATAAAGACAATAGCCGCGTTTCGACCAAAAAGTACCTGAAACTTAGTTCCAGGTACTTCTCTTCAGGAACTAAAAGGTTCCTGTGGCCTATTGTTATCTGCGTTTCCACCGTGTTCCCAAGTCCCAGGAAGATTATGCAAAATTATTACTTGACATTACATTATTCACAGCACTTTGAGGACATAACATGAACAAAAATACGGGACAAATTGCATCCCATATATATTCAACACAGGACACAGCATTTTCCCGTATTATACGTGATGGGGGGCAACCCTAGCCACTCCGGTTGTTGTGGTCCTTTATTTTTTTGAAGTCCTTTTTTTTAGCTTCTCTCGCACCTGTTTCGCAGTGTGGAAAATGTACTCGCTCAGTGCTCGCTCCCTACGGACTTTTAAACATCATGAGGGAAATAAAATGCAGCGAGTACTCGACCAGTCAGAAATGTTCAGCACTGCAGACCACACCCCCCAAAGTTCCTGAACCTTTGGAAAGTACTACCTCCCGACCACATACCTTTTTGGGGTCGATTAATTACCCTGGAACTAAATTTAGACCCTGGTTCCTGCAGTGGAAACGCGCATAGTTCCTCAAAAGGTTCCTGGTTCCTGGGGAAAGTTCCTGTAGTGGAAACGCGGCTAATGTAAAAGAATTGGTTTGATTGAGCTATTCCATCATTTTTTTGGCATCTGGTTGATTTAAAATAGCATTAAAGTTTGTGTTGATCAGAATCACATTGATAATTAAAAACTTTAATAATGGAAAGCTTTATGTTTTTCTTGATGCCAGTCCTTTGTAATGCTTCCTCTCATACCATCCCTGATTTGCCTCTACAGTGGAGAATGTGAAGGAGGTGCTGAAGCTGAGCGTGGAGCAGAAGGGTGCTCTGGTGCCCACTGGGGAGCTGACTGTTTTCCTAGATGGACTGACTGTCACCGACCAGGAGGAACTGGCACAGCTTACCAACAGCAATGCCGCAAATGGCACCAGTGAGCACAGTATTTTTGTTAGGAGTGGGCAATGGTTGGGTTGTCAGTTTTAAGGACCTTGTTTAACCAGTAAACAACAATCAACTGGGACAAGGAGAGAAAAATGCCACAAAAACATGCATACAGATACAAAACTCTGGTCAACTATCACATAAACCTATTTGTTAGAATGAATTCACTAAATATACACTTGCACATGAATTCTGCAAACACATTGCAAAAACATTTTTTTCTCCCAATTCTTCCCAGAAGTCCAACAGAATGGTGATGCCATCCACGAAAATGGAGACTCATCGTCCTCTTCCTCAAGGGCTGCCAACAGGTAAACAAACTACATGAACCAACCATTTGGTTGCTCCAAATATTTCATGAGGAAGAAGATTCTGTCTACTTCCCTTTTTGTGTGCCCTGTATGAACACATGGCCTTCTTTACATTACTGTCAATACTCGTAGTCTAATGTCTTCCACTAGTTCTTTTAAAAAGGCTTTTGATAGTTTTTTAACCTCCTTTCTGTGTCTTGTCCCTGTGTCCTTTCTCCTGCTTTACGTTCTACCGGCTGGCACCACTGGTGCCAATTTTTATCATCTGTCACACAGTAAAAGTGCCATTCAATGAGGCTAACAGGGTTTTTATTGGAATGGCTGCCTGGCTCCTCTCTGCATTGCAGTTACTGAGAGGACTGCAAGACACAAGCAGGGGGATATTTAAAACTTAATAGTGTTTCCCCTCCCTGGAAGTTCCCCAAGTGTTTGAACGCTCAGCCAGATAAGAGAGGTAGCCAGCTGAGGGACATTTGTGGTGGTGAGACAAATGTTTTCCTTATTGTTGCCTAAATAATGAAACATAAAACACTATTGCTTATCCGTATTAAACATATTTATTTCAGTGAATGCAAACAAATACACATATTACTAATAATCAAAAAAAAAACTTTCCATCAATTAACTTTTAATTAATGTATCGATTGTGCATATCTTGTTGGCAATCCAAGCATGTTTACTACTAAATGTGTCAAAAACTCATCATCAGTCTGTGTTCAAATCTGAACATTTGGTTTCAGCTCTCAGGTTTTTTATATATAACAACATATTCATGAGTAAATGTGCAACAATCAAGGGAAAAGATTTTTTATGAAAAAAATGTCTTAGATAATATTTATTAAGAGTTTAACAGAAAGAAACCCTGCTAATCTGCTCGATCTGGAATGTGTGGGTGTAGTTTGATCAGATTTGATTGACAGTACTAGCAGCACAGCAATGGCAGAATGATAGTTTTCCAGAGTTGTCAATCTTGAGTATAAATTGCTTCTGATTAGCCTTAAAATTGTGGATAAAACAGCATTTGTTTCAATGCAGTGCTATTTCCCGTCCGAACACAATTTTAGCCTCACTGCTCCTTCCCCGAACTGTGACTTCACTCGCAGCATATGGAAGGTGGCCAAACACAGTTAGTCGGCAATTTAGCTAGGAGCAGATGCTTAGGGATCCCTCTGACCTACTTCTTTCCATTTGTATCTCTTTGTCTCTTTAACTTGTTGTCCTTCATGATCTTACATCACAGTTCTGCAGCAATGTGTTTTCTGGCAGACTTCCCACCATTACCTCTCATATCTTTTCTGTTCAACTCTTTCATGCTACCTTGATTTGTTTATTTTTCTCTTCTGAAATCTTTACTTCCTGAGTCTTACTCACTTTGCCTGTGCCTTGATTTCAATTTTTTGTTTGTTTTTAGTCAGCTTTGCTTTGTTGCATTTCCCTCCTTTCTTTCCCTCCATTCCAGTTAGCTTGTGTGTCTACTGTTTCTCACACCATCGAGCAGGGAGACCCTTCCTGTGGAGTCAGAGGTGCCAGGTATCGGAGCCTGTTAAAACACTTAATACTGGCCTCCAAGCTGGCTGCAGGAGTATGATGTTGTGTTTGGTTCAAACTGTGTGTGTGTTTCTACTAACGGAATTTCAATAACTGCTCATCTATGTTGTCCTTGTACCTCATTTTTCTCCCTGCGTCAGATTTCAATACTAAAGCAGCAAGTCCAGTTGCCTTTGACTTAGTATTTGTAATTAACCCATTAATATTTAAACATAAATACTGGGCTCTACATTTAAATTTAAACTGGGCAGATTTGGTGGGAAATTTGCTGGTATCACTTCCTGTGCAGTGTGTCTTACTGGACATTGAGTATTAGTATGGTTAGAGCTTCTATGGTTAGCGGCTGAGTCGTAAAAACCAACATTCTTTGGAGTTGTCTGCACTTGTGATCCTTTCTTCTCTGTGATCTACTTCCTTTCTTTCTTCTCTTCTTCTTGGTTGCTTACCTGCTGATTTGCCGTTTTTTGTTATTACTTCATGCCTAGACAAAGCCTTATCTTGAGTCATATGGCAGATCTCTTATTTGTCTCAGTGTGTGCATGTCTGTGGCACCGACTGAACTCTCCTGCCTCACAAAAGGGCCCCTTCAGCTGTGCCCATTACATCACCACACCACCCCATTATGTCCCGTCCTTACCCCTACAAGACAATAGTGTCAGTGTCACAAGTGAGTCTTTTATCTGACACTCCCACAATGAGTGGAAGCAGCACACATTTAGCTCACTCTGAGTAATCCCTGTAAAACAAATTGATCCCATGCCTGTTGTGGGCCAGTAGTAAAAACAAAAGTTTTTATTACTGGCTACTGGGTTTTGTTCTTAGAATATACATTTTTTTTAGTTTTAGTATAACTGTAAACACATAAATTGTGTCTTATGTATAATGTATAGGTTTATAAGTTGTTAGTTAATTAAGGAATGGTTGTGTTTTCTCCTAAAGCACAGTGAATGGTACAGACTTGGGGCCAAGGTCAGATTCCTGTTCGGCCTCCAATGGTGTGGATGGTGAGGTGCCTTCAAGCTCCTGCAGCCCTGCCCTTGGTCATGTCGTCAATGGAGATGCCACACCCAACTCCACCCCAGTCCACCAACCCTCAGACAGTGACACAGAGAGCAGGACAGGTGAGTTTGCATGATTACTATAGTGTGTGAATTACAGTAACTTAAGAGGGTTAAAATAAAATCTTAGTTCTCAGATTTGAAAAGTGTGTTCATGACAATGCTGTTCAATGCTTTATTGTGCTTTTCTCGTTTACATTTAATCCCCTTTTGAGTGGTAGTATTGTTGGGTATGATTCACTTGAGAACTGGACAAAATATTAACTGAATGTATATGATGAGCTGCTAGGCTCATGTCAAAGATGGAATCATGCAAGTCCTTATCAGAGCATCTCAGTAATACATGTGTATATTTCTAGCAGGTATTCATTGTGTTGCCTGGGCAGGGCTCAGTTCTTCATGGTTCACTCAGTGAACAGTAGAGAAGAACAGTAGATTCATTTTCATTAAGTGAGCACTGTTATCTCTGCTGCTGTCAGCGCCTCTGTCGAAAACTCCCTGGACAGAAGGGGAAAAAACGCAGAGTGCAGTGTACTGGGGATGGCAGGCAGAACACCAATAGCATGCTGAGCTTACACCGAGCTGCGGTTGAATAAAGAATATTAATTCTTTATTCGTATGCCTAGATGGGTTGTCACAATTTGAAAAGTTCAAAGTCCAAAATACTTCCATACACAACTTCTCACATGGTTTGATGTCATGATACATTATGAATATAAATTTATTTTCCCATATTTGAAAGTACAGTTCAAATTCTAAATAAAAAGTGACTGCCCTACAAAACATCCACTCTTTGGTGAACAGCTGTTTGTTGCATTGAACAAACAATTAAAGAGTTCTGTAGGCTAGGCTGTTGGTGCAGAGACCAAGCTATAGTTTGTTTTTCCGATACTACTTTCAAGTTCAAAAGTTCAATATCCATTTCAACCCTTTGTCAGTGGAAATGTTTACATTCACAGAGACACAAATGCATGTGAACATATGTAGATTCCTAGACTACATGACTATTGGGCACTTGTTTTAAAATCAGCCATTTAAAAGGCAATTTTTGCTTTGAGACCTACTGACCTCAAGTCATGGATGGAGAAAGAGTCTCGACCATGCATTTAAACAGCACCATTGTCTTTCTCTGAATTGCCTGCAGTCAACGGGGAGTCTTGTGATGTTGCTCTTGGGCCATCATCTGTGACAGCAGGTGATGTGCTGTCCCCTGCAGATGACCACGAGGACTGCAGTCAAGATGCCGTCCTGCCAGACTCTGTCACAGCACCAAATAGCACATCTCAACCCCCGCCACCCTCCACACTGACTCCAGCCTCCACTTCTGCTGCTAAGCCTCCTGACGGCACCGCTGCTGCTTCCTCCACAATCACCTCCTCAGCCCAGGGGGCTGCCACCCCCACCACCACCCCCACCACCACCACCACCACCACCACGACAACCTCCTCATCATCGTCCTCTTCCTCCCCAGCACAGGGAGAGGCAAATGCTTCAGGAGCTGGTGGTGGTAACAGTAGTAGCAGTGCAACTGTAACTACAGATGGGGCCAAGCCCAGACAACAGGCCCCCAATGCTGGAGCCTCAGATCCTCTTCCACCAGGGTAAAAATCACCATCAGCTGCTTATTTTCTGCATTCCCTGTTTAATATCACACATATTTTCAAACCTATTATTATATCATGAGGTATTTACCTTAAAGCGACACTTCAGCCAAAATCTTTTGAGTATAAAACACACACGCACTCATATTTCACTATTATATAGCAATCGTGCACAGCCTTATGAAGCTTTTTTTGTTATTGTTGTGGATTGTTTTTAGATGGGAGCAGAGGAAAGACCCGCATGGGAGAACGTACTATGTAGACCACAACACCAGGACTACCACCTGGGAAAGACCACAGCCACTACCACCGGGGTGATTATCTGTCTTTCACTCCTTTAGCCGCTTTCAGACTACAATCTCTAACTTAACCAGGTTCATCTTTCTGTTTTAAACTCTGGCTTTTTGCCTACAAACAGACATAGGTAACCTTAACACCCTATTTACACAAGATGGCTTTCAACCATGTCTGCCACTAAACAAAAATTGTTGTAAACCAATGGTTTGGTTGGATGGTTTCAGTTTACATTTCTTGCACTTGCATTCGGTCTTCATAGATTAACACAGCTGATACCACATGATGAAATGTCCTGATATATAAATCTAACCAAAGTGCCAAAGGCAGAGAGTTCCATGAAGTAGGGTGGTGTTTTCTTAGGACACTCAGGAATTTGTTCAGTTTCAGTGAGAGTTATTATTTGGTGAATATCCTCAAGCAGAACAAAGTTACTGAACTTTGAATTAATTGTGTCCATTTAGAAGTTGTCCCCCCAGGTTCTTTTAATTGTTTTGGATTGAATGAGTAAGTGTCAGGTTGGAAGTGAACCTTTGACTTTCCTTGCTGGACTAGCCACCTGCTTACAAGCCTGTGTTTGTGTGTCTCTGTTAATTGTACCATCCATCTCCCTCACTGTGCCAGCTGGGAGCGCCGAGTGGATGACCGGGGCAGGATCTATTATGTGGACCATAACACCCGCACCACCACATGGCAGCGTCCCACTATGGAATCAGTCCGCAACTTTGAGCAGTGGCAGAGCCAACGCAGCCAACTGCAGGGAGCTATGCACCAGTTTAACCAGAGATACCTCTACTCTGTAAGACCATCCTCACCACACCTTTTAATCACTGTTTTGTTTTTTTTATTTATACCTGTAAAAGTTTTTCAACCTATGAATTTAGTTAGTCAACATTCTTACTCTTTACTTTTTAGTTTAACACCACCGACGTGATACAGTTCATACTAGCATTCCATATACTTCTTTCAAGCAATGGAAACATCTCCTCATTCAAAAGAGCAGCCACACTAGTACATGCTGAAAAAACAAACAACTTAATCGATAGAATGAAACAGAACTATAATTTTGGTCAGTGAAGAGTGAATAGCAAGAACAGCAATCAGGTAAACTTGTTTTATCCTCCAAGTTTGGTGTCAGCAAATAAGAGTAAGTAAGTTGATGTGCATCTCTCTCTCTCTCTGTCTGTCTTTAGCCACAAGTACATGCAGTGAAATTCTGGGTTCTGAAATTAATGATTTCATAACACAGAGTGTGTTTGAATGTGTGTGTGTGTGCGTGTGTGTGCCTTTATCAGTTGTAAAGTAATATACTGACATTTACTGCTGTATTGAAAGAGTAGTCCATAGAAATTATCACAAATGAAGACTGTTTGGTTTTGCAATCTTAAAATCAGTGTATAGTAAATGTGAGTTAAAGGTGTGTCGCTGATGTAACCAGCTACAGCTTGAAGCGACGTTGAGGACTTAAAATATATTGAAAATTGTTTTAAAAGGAAGGCAGGATTCCTGTATATACCCAATGCAAAACTGCAGTCCTTTCTCTGTGAACCTTGTGCATTATTGAGTCACCTGACCACACTGGATCGTTCCAGCTGTTCGCTTTTATCAACTCATCAACTTTTAAAGTGTGCATTTAGCTCAGACCATTCCACAATATGTACCCAGTCCTACAGAAAACAGATCTTTGGCTCTGACCGAAAAAGAATTTTAAGGATCTTTAAAATCCTCTGATCTAAGTGATCACTTTTCCTTTCCTCTGCAGTCTGTACTGGCTCAGATATTGGGCCTAATATTACAGTCAAGAACTCTTCTGCCATTTTCTAGAGTTCTGAAATGGCTCAGTTGACTTCTTGAGGAATTTAAAGGTACCCCTTTAAAAGAACCTGGTTTTTGCATATGTAGCCTTATAATTACATATATTTGATATAAGCCATAGCACATACTACGATAACTAACTCAAGCAAATTTCAGAAATTCAAACATTACAAAATGCTGTAGTAATGTATAGATTAAATTGGCCAATACTGTAAATGGTAATGTCCTCGATTTTATTTTCTCTCCTAATTGGCAGGGGTAACCAAGTCGTTGTCATGATGATCTTAGAAATCATAGGACCAACCTCTGGTTCTAATCTTTCTCTGGGTGTATTTGTTTTGCAACCCTACTCACTCAACACACTGTTTGGCATCTAGCTCACCTCATTTAGCCCGAAGGTGAGAAGTTTACCTCGACAGGGTTTCAAATGCACAACCCAGCCTCTGCCTTAATCTGGTTATCTTTGTGAGGGTCCCCCTCCCAAGTCTTTGATCTGAATGGTGATGTCATCTTCATTGATGATGATTAGCTTACAACACAAATCAAAAGGCAGACACCTGGAAACTACTGAGCAGTAACCAGCCACAGAGGCCTTCTTGCCAACACATCAAAACGGGTTTATTTTTATTATTATTGTTCAATCTTCCTGTTGCAGATTTTTTTTTTTTTTTTTACATTTATTTTTGAACATTTTTTAATATCCTACATATTTGGAATATTTTTGAGAAGAGTGGGGTCTTCCTGGTGATTTCTGAATGGAGGTCTATGTGTGCATCCCTCATTTCCAGGCATCCATGATGTCTGCTGAGAACGACCCTCTTGGCCCGCTACCTCCTGGCTGGGGTGAGTTCACATTCTCTCTTCTCAATCCTATTCACATTTCCACATTGTGTCAGTATGTACTGTATTTGAAGTAAGAAACTACAGAAATGTATCGGTATGCATCATACCTATGTTCAAGCCAAAAATGTGTGTTAATGTAAAATATGAGTAGCAATGCTTTGTGATACTGTTTTAAGTTGTATCAGCGTCATTCTGAATGTTTCCTACAGTCTCCTCTCAACCGCTGTTCACAAGGATGACAGCTTGTTGAACAACTGTGTTTATAGCATGAGTCAGCACTGGTGATAATCAGACATGTGTTGCCACATAGCATCCATTCTGTCTATTAAGCTACAGATTCCTGTGTTTGCTTTTATCAACTTTAGAGAGACGTGTGGACTCCAATGACCGGGTGTACTTTGTAAACCATAACACCAAGACAACACAGTGGGAGGACCCCCGAACCCAAGGGTGAGCTCAAAGAAACCATAATAGAAAATAAATGGAGACTGTATTGTCCACACACGGTCTCATTGTAGTAAAGTAAGAGAGTACTTGAAACACATAAAATGCATGTGGTGTATATTGTACATCATTACTCACAGAAGCCTGTGTGAGTACAGTGAACTGGCTAATCCATTGTTAATTTTATGGAATTAAACAGGAGGAGGGAATGTATAATTACAGATCATAATTTTAATGTGAAAGATCATCTCTTGGTTAATAGGCTTTTTCCTGTCCTGCACCAAATTGATATCATACAGCTCTCTCTCTGTTCTCTCTTACCAGTGACGTAGTGGCCTCAAACTGTTTGGTTAAATTAGACTATTAAAAGTCAAGATGCTCCTGCTTAAACCAGTATTGACACTTCTAGGATGTGTTCACTGATGCCACAATAGTAAGGCTTCTTTAAAAGATGCATATACAGTGTGTTAGCTGAAATTTCAGTTTACTTTCTAGACCTCAATCACTGATTAATCCATTCAGTCCTTTAACTTTTAGGTAGCTATTATTAAGATTAATTGCTTGATAACGTTATTAAGTTGAATATATATATATATATATATATATATACATATATATATATACAAGAAATATAAAGAAATTCAGTGAGTGAACTGAATGGGTGTTAGAGGGTAGGTGATGGTTTCAGTGAAGCACATTCAGATAAAAAATATTTTCTTTCACAATCCCTCTTGTGTTTTGATTTGTCAAAAGGTAAATCTGTCATGGGAAGCACATCCAAATCAACATCAGCGTCAAATTAGCTATGCAACAGTTTTACAATAGTTACATGACCTCTATCAGGAGCCATTGAATACACTCTTGAGGCCAATGTTTACAGTAATTTTCTAGCATATTATACAGCAGTTCATGATCCTCAGGGACAGAGCAACCTATTATCATCAAAGCAATTTTAAGTAATTTGTCCACCCTCCATGAATACCAGAAAACCCATTATTCCACCATCATTCAGCCATAATACTACAATTAATTTGTTGTTGAATTTGTTTCAGGCTGAAATGAGGTCTGAATTGTAAGATTTGTTTCAATTTATCAATAATACATCATCCTATGGTAACATTTTATGACAAGGACAGGCTTTGTACAAGTTGGTCCATCGTATAACTTCTCAAAATATGATGTCCTCATTTTTACTTACGCAGAATTTTCAGAAAAAACGTATATTTTCACACGTTACACCGAGGGTAATGCTGATATGTAAGATTTTGTTTACTAAGGTTTTATGTCGTAGCAAAGATCAGAGCTGGCTGTGTTTGTTTTTTAAGTGTCCCCTGCTTGTCTGAGTTTAACAAGTGTAGCAAGTATAGTTTCACATAAACAAGTTCATGTCCCAGTAGGGGTGGTGAATTCTGTTTCTGATGTTACTTCCAGTCTTCTCAGTGTTGTGTTGCAATGAAATGTTGTTTACGTGTGGTGAATTTGGGTTTTGTCCTTGGACATACTTTCCATGTTAAACACTTATCCGTCCATTTGTATGATTGGTCTGTGTGTGTGTACGTGTGTAGGCTACAAAATGAGGATCCTCTGCCTGAAGGTTGGGAGATCCGGTACACAAGGGAAGGGGTTCGCTACTTTGTAGATCACAACACCCGGACCACCACTTTCAGCGACCCCCGCACTGGAAAGTCCTCCGTGTAAGAACACATTTTAAAATAATGTACTTGTTCATCTTCATGTGTTATGTTAAATGCTACATGAAGCCATGCTAGAAGCAAATGTTAACTTCATGGAAACATGACCATATTACACATGTCACATTTTCTTCATCATATGGTGAAGATGCAACTATTTACTGTAGAAAAAGCTTCTTTTCCATTGCATCTGTCAGCTTATACTTATAACCTTTTTGTTCGTCTCAGCACCAAAGGCCCTCAGATTGCTTATGAGCGCAGCTTCCGATGGAAGCTTGCCCATTTTCGCTACTTGTGCCAGGTAGGTGACTTCTTTCTACTCCTCCATCAATCAGTCTCTTGCCCTCTATCACAAATCTTAATCTTGTTTTTGCATGCGCTAATGTTTTGTCCCATCTGTCCTCAGTCCAATGCTCTCCCTAGCCATGTGAAGATCACTGTCTCCAGACAGACGTTGTTTGAAGACTCTTTCCAACAAGTAAGAGTCATGATTTATTATATTCAAAACTACTATATCAGTCCCTCCAGAATGTCGTGATATTGCGATCGCAATAATTACTACAAATTCAACCAATCCCTTTTAATTCTGTGCAACCTTTTTGTCCAATCACCGCAACCTTCCCGCAAATTTGACCAATCAGCATAGTTTCCCATGAGTTAAACCAATAATACCAGTCCCTGGTGGGGGGACTCAAAACCTATTCAAATAAAGATTATTTTGTTAGAATTTTTTTAATTCTGAACCTCTTTGGTTGCTTAGAACAGGGCAGATCTATTCTCACTCAAGTTGCATTTGATTTTTAATGAATTACACAAAAACATATAGCAACAATTTTTGCAATTTTTATTTGCTCCCGCAGTTTCGTTGCAAAAAAACAAAACAATGTAAAAACATCGCATCATGCAATTTTTTTTAGAAAGGCTGCCATGAAATCAGGCATTTTAGCCCGCAACAATGCCAAAAAAAAAAGCCTGCGATATCTCGGAGGGACTGCTCAAAACCTTCATACCATCATTGTGCCTGTGTCACTTGCTGATGTTGTGTTGTAGCTGATCTTGTGTGTTCTCTTTGTTATGTAGATTATGGCTCTCAAGCCGTATGACTTGAGGAGGAGACTCTACGTCATCTTCAGAGGCGAAGAGGGTCTTGACTATGGTGGCTTAGCCCGGTAATACAGACAATAAAAATAGTTTGATGTTCATTTTTCTTGTGCAAACTAGCTTTTTGGAAAATGTAAACAGTAATTGATCATGTGTACCCCCCCCCTTCTTTCCATCTTTCCCCCCTTTCATTTCCTTCTCTCTTTCTATTCTAATCCCTACACTCATCATACCCTCTCTTATCTTGTCGTCTTCCCCTGCCCCTGTTTGTCACACACCTCACTCTTCAGAGAGTGGTTCTTCCTGTTGTCCCATGAAGTGCTGAACCCCATGTATTGTCTGTTTGAGTACGCCGGCAAGAGCAACTACTGTCTGCAGATCAACCCAGCCTCAGCTATCAACCCGGACCACCTCTCCTACTTCTGCTTCATAGGCCGCTTCATTGCAATGGCAAGTTTAAATACTGCAAACACAATAAGTGAAACAGGCTGATTTTTACTTCAAATATGTTCAATGTGTTCACCGAACACCAATCGATCAATGCTGAAACAAAAACAAGTTAAGGTTTATGTCATTACAAACACAAATACACTGCAAGATTGTTCATAATCTGTATGTGTCCATATCTTCAGGTTGACCAGCATAGTAAAATGCACATTTGTTTCTTTGTTTCTGCAGGCACTTTTCCACGGCAAGTTTATCGATACAGGCTTCTCTCTGCCTTTCTATAAACGCATGCTGAACAAGAAGCTCATCCTCAAAGATCTCGAGTCCATTGACCCAGAGTTCTACAACTCACTCATATGGATCAGGTATTTTGTCTACATAGCCTTCACTGATCTCATGTGTAATCAGTTGACAGCAGAGGCACAGCTCGAAAATGAACATCTTTGAATACCGTGAGCACATCCTGACTTCACGTTACCATGAAGCTTTCAAGAGGAAAAAGCCAGTTTTATTGTTGATTTGATAGTTTTAAATGTCACAGCACTTCACTCTGAGTGGAGCTTTTGATTAAAGAGCCAATATGTGTATTCTTAATTGGATTATCCAGAGCGTTTCCCCTGGTCTTCTTTGCTCAGGTAATCTCTTAAATTCCCTTGACCCCCACTTGGAGAACCATTGTCGTTGGGTGCTGTCACACTTAACCTGTTGATTCTCTTTAAAGAAACTCTTTGATAAGCCTGCTTTTAATCTGATTCATTTAGGTCGATAAAAGAAGCGCAGCCTAATGTTTACAAGCTTTGCTTCCTTCATATTACATCTGTGTGAACCTTAAACAGACCAGAACCAAAAGGCAACAATGCTTTATCATTTTCTTTGGTCTGCACCACAAAACCCAACATGCAGCTGTGAATAAACCTCTAGACAAGACAAGTCACTTGTGTCTATATAACCCAAAATCTCAAATATGTCTTAGAGGATTGTACAAGCTGTACATCATAGAACACCCTCTGTCCTTTTGATCTGAATTGGAAAATCTCCACAATAAAACACATTTAACTGGAAAAAAAGGAGAATCTTCAGGAAGAGCATCAGAGAATAAATACCTCGTCCAGTATGGACAGACACGTGTTGGCAATAAAACAACATTTTGGAGAAACAGAATGACAAGATTAAATACATAAAGTTCATAACATCTAATACCAAGTAAATATTTATGGTAATAAGTTTAAAGCAAAGTGTTTGGAGTGAGGACTATGGGAAACCTCAACCTCAAAGAGAGCAGACTACACATACATACAAGAGGCAGCTCAAGAATACTAGAGCTGCTGGGAGGAGATGACTCTGTTAGTTGCAGATAAGACATGATGCAACAACAGAAACAAAGGCCGGCTGAGTCTCCAGCACAGACACGTTACTCACATTAATAATTCTTTTTGCACCAATGAGCTGTCCACTCTCTATTATTCTGTGACAGCAACATGATCTCATGTCTCCTCAGGGACAATAACATTGAAGAGTGTGGTCTGGAGATGTACTTCTCTGTAGACATGGAGATCTTGGGGAAAATCACCTCTCATGACCTCAAACCCGATGGCGCCAATGTCCTGGTTACTGAGGAGAACAAGGAGGAGTATATCAGGTTTAGTATAACCACAGTTTTATCATAACAGCAGTAATATCTGGCCCCTAAATATCATTTCATGTTGTTTTTGAAACTTACAATGCACATTTTTGCTGTGTGGCTTGCAGTCTAATGGCCGAATGGAGGTTCTCCCGTGGGGTAGAAGGTCAGACCAAAGCTTTCCTGGATGGTTTCAACGAGGTGGTTCCACTTCAGTGGCTCCAGTACTTTGACGAAAAGGAGCTGGAGGTGAGCAGTCATCCAATACACAAATAACTACCCCACTCCACAGAGGTTTAACTAATTATTCATTACTTAAATGAAATAACAAGGGTTTGTGTAGAGAAGCAAATTTCTGTCTTTTAACTGTTGTGTGTGAATTCCAGCATTGACATATGTTTCTGGTTTTGTTTGTGTGCCCTGTTTTCTGCATGTCATCTATGTTCTCGTGTGTGTGTGTGTGTGTGTGTGTGTGTGTGTGTGTGTGTGTGTGTGTGTGTGTGTGTGTGTAGTGTGTGTGTGTGTGTGTGTGTGTGTGTGTGTGTGTGTGTGTGTGTGTGTGTGTGTGTGTCAGGTGATGCTATGTGGCATGCAGGAGGTGGACCTGCAGGACTGGCAGAGGAACACAGTGTACCGACACTACACCAGGAACAGCAAACAGATCATCTGGTTCTGGCAGGTAAAGTCACAACAACACACACTTTGTTTCTTTTTCTCCTTACCACCTTATATTTATGAAGGAGAGGAACAGAATATTTCAATAGCATGTAAGTTTATCTGGCTCGTAGTGTGTCTGATATTGGCAGGTTGCTGGTCAGTAGTGTGTGGTCACTGATCAGTGCGTGTGCTGTCTCTTCCTCCCCTGCAGCTGGTGAAAGAAGTGGACAATGAAGTGCGACTGCGGCTCATGCAGTTTGTCACTGGAACCTGCAGGCTTCCTCTGGGTGGCTTTGCTGAACTCATGGGTCAGTGACAGACGCACACACAGAGTAACACACTCACCCCTTAATCACTCAGACACCAAGTTTATGTGATACATACTATAGACATATATAGCGCAGAACACAAGTCTTTGAACACTTCCACTTTGTTTGTTCTTTAGACTCTGAGCTGCAGCACAGTCAGTCTGATATACAATAATGGAGGCTGCATGTGAGAAGGTTTACATCAATATAAAAAGGACTGTGTGGGAGATGCAGCTCTTTAAGGGCTTCAGAAGTCACTGGACTGATCCACATGGAGTCAAACAAAACTTATTTAGATAATATATGTAATATTTAGTGTAAAATCCTTGGAAGTCAGTGATTCTCTGTATTTTCCCTGGTGCTGCTTTCTGAGAGCTTCACTGCAGCCTCCTTCAGCTCTTGTTGTGGGTCTCTTTAGTCAGGTCTTAGTCAGCAGGTGGAATCCAGCTCAGACTGAGATCAGGTGACTGACTCAGCCAGTTGAGGAGGTTTACCAGGGGTTTGTATCTTGTGGTCATTGAGAAACTGCACTTTCATATAGTATCCACTATTTTAGTTCTAATTGAATGTGCCTGAGATCAGAATCTGAAGAACAAAAAAAAGCGAAACTGTCAAAAAAGTATTTGGACAGTCTTCTCACTCCTCATTTGCTTTTGCACTGCAGGAAGTAACGGACCCCAGAAGTTCTGCATTGAGAAGGTGGGGAAGGACACGTGGCTTCCTCGGAGCCACACCTGGTGAGTCGAGCACTCTACCGCTGATTCATGGGATTGATTCCTCTCTCACACAGAATGTTGTCCTGATGTTGTTTCAGTATATTACTATTCACAGGGACACAAATTAGTAGTTGAATATAATTCAAATCATATATAATAAATGGACTTAATTGGATGACACAGGATAAAAACATGAGTGATGTTTCACACTGAATTCTCGATCAGTTTTGCCAATGTGTTCCCGTCTCTGTCGTGGGTACAGTGAGATCTCTAGAAAAGTGCATCACAGCAACCACAGTTCATGTAGGAAACTGTTAATAACCCAGGAATAATATGTAATCAAATGTTTTATAATCCATCTTTATACTGACATTTGGTTCTCCCGCTTGGTGTTTACAGTTTTAACCGTCTGGACTTGCCCCCCTACAAAAGCTTTGAACAGCTGAAAGAGAAGCTGCTCTTCGCCATCGAGGAAACAGAAGGATTTGGCCAAGAATAGAGGGAGGAGTCCTCTTGTCTTCTCCCCCTCCCCCATCGCTGTTTATTCAGTCAAACAAACAAACTAAAAAAAATTGCACAAGATAACCACCAATGTATATAAGCTATTTTCTCATCTTAAACCAAATCTTAATTTGCAGCATCATTTTTGCTGCAGTCCTGTTCCCTAGCCCTTATATATTATATGATACCCCATCATGAAATATGCAAGCATTTCAGCATTTTTGCTCCTCTGTTTAAAAACAGAAATCATGGATATTTTTTTTATTTCCTCCCCACTGCTGACTGGCTTTTTAAAATAGACTGAAAGTGTTTTTGAGAGGATTTTATAGTAGAAGCGTAATCTACTTTTAAAGCTCTAGTTCTATAGAGCTTTTAAAAGGCAGGAGCAGTACTGCGGTCTGGTGCCTGAATTTCTTTTTTTCCTGTTGGACCCATAGTAATTGTTGCAATTTTTTGTGTGCTTGCATGGCTGCCTCGGAAGATGAGAAGACTGTCTTCCACCACCCCTCACACACAGACATTTTAGCATGGATCGCTCAGTCTCTAAATTAGCTTTTTTTTTTTTTTTTTTTTTTTTTTTTTTTTTTCTTAAACCATCATCATCTAAAAGGCAAAGTGTTCAGGATGAGCAGATCTGAAGCTGGTGAAGTGGAGAATAACCATCTCATACAGTTTTGCCCTCAATGAGATTGTGGACACCAGCCTAGAGAAAAAAGCATCATCGGATCGTCCTGTTTGGATGAAGACTCTGCTGTGAAGTTCCTGGACTAAAGCTTCTATATCAGAAATCAAAAGGAACACGAGGATGAAAAGGAAAATATTCTAAATTGAAGTAGAAGAGTGTGTGTGTGTGTGTGTGTGTGTGTGTGTGTGTGTGTGTGTGTTGACAGTGGAGCCTGTGGTTAGTAGTTCAGATATTCAGGCCAGAGACCATGGGCATGTTCCAGGCCACCTAGACTGCAGCCTGCTGCTTCAGATGGGAAGTGAGAAACAAACAAGAATGACAGAGTTACAGCTTTCATTTAAACATTGAGCTGTTTGGAAAATTGTCACAACAAATAACACAAGATAGAACAGATTCAGTGGCTCAATTGTTCATGTGCGCTTTGCTGATTCTCTCTTGCCTCTTCGAGCTTTGGTCTCGGACTGCAAAGTGTCTCCAGTCTGTGAAGCCTCTGTGGTTCACAGAGCACCAGACATGGTTATGCTTTTTTTGACAACATGCAAACCCCCTTTACTTCAACACCTCAGCTCAAGGTATCACACTAGATAAATACCCTCACAGATTTTAACCATGAATATCGAAGACAACATATGACAAGTGAAAGAATTTCATTCATGGTCATCTACTGTTGTAATAAATTTCAAAGACCTCTCATTCATAAATTCAGATGAATGTACTCCTTTCAGTTCATCTATACATGTACTGAAAGGAGCTTCTCATTTAATACCAACCATGAACTAATCACAACTGAATACAGTGCTGCAGAAATGTTATTATCATGGCCGTAAAAGTTGTTGAATGTCCCATAGACAGTGGTAGTTTAATTTGGTAAATGATCATAAAGTAGATTAGAGGCGCTCCAATAAAAAATTGCTTCTCTTGAATTACTGGAAAGTAGTGTATACAAATGTATACAAACACTGCATGAAGGCAGTACAGAGTCCAGGAAAAATGAAGATTCAACATAAGAAATTTGGGGTTTCTTAAAGTATTAACTGCACCTGTAAATTATTGTTAGAAAATAATTTATGTCTCATATAGTGTGTATCTGCTATTTGGCTGCTCAGTCAACAGTGTGAACACAGCTTAGCTACACAAGATGACAAAATTCAGATCATTGAATTGTGCTGATATGACAAAGCCTTACTTTGATAAAGATCTGTGTATAAATCAGTGAAGTTGAGGCTGTTCGCAGGAAAACAATTAGACTAATTCGCATACAAATAACAATTATAAAGCTCTATTAAAGAGACACTAATGTGCCACACCAGGTAGTTGAAACCTCTCACAGTGAAACTCCTGCAGCCTGCGGTCTGTTTTGAGACTGACACAGCAACAAGCCTGATGATGCACTGCATTGCTGTATGTTGTGTGGTTTTTGTTTTTGCACCTGCTTGTGCCCTTGTCTCTTGCTGATTTTCTTTCCTCAAATGCTTCAGGGTGTGTTTTCAAAATGTCACGTCTAACTCCATCGTTACTAAATGACAACTCTGGTGCTTATTCTTTCAGTCAGTGGTCTCAGCTTAAAAAGAAAAAAAAAAAAAGCTTTGGCAGTGGCAGGCCGTTCTCCTCGTTCTCTCCAGCATTGTTTCCTCAGACCACTGCAAACAGCAAGATGCTTTAAATTTTTTTCAGGAGGAGCTCGTGATTAGTCAAGTTATCAGTTATGTATATAACATGTATTCAGCTGTGTTTGTGGAAGAGCTGCGAGGAGGGACGACCGTATAAAGACGAACATTTACTGTAGCAAAAGGATCCGAGACTTTTAAGAGAAGTCAAAACTGCATAACTGTGCTTCCTTTTGAACAGAAACCTGTAATCAAAGAAAATCAACTGTATGTGAATATTCATTGTATAAAGATAATGAAAGTAAATAAAGTACTTAAATATTATAATTAATTACACAGAGCCGCCACTCCATTGATGGAAATCTGTGATGCCTTTGTTCTTATCAGAAATAGATGGGACGTTTCAGGTTGCCTTCACCGTAGCCAGTAACTAGACTAAACATGACTTGGGCAGGTGTATTCCCTCACAGTGAAGCTGATTGATGACACTGTATATCCGTACAGTACGTGATTGTGCAGAAGGTGACCTCTAACTGTGCCGACTCCGGTTTAGGCCACCTGAAACGCATCCAAACTGTAACATATCGCGTGTAGATATACACTGTAAACACCAACTACACTGTACAGAATGCCCCTTTACTGGAGACTGTGTATAGAAGATTCATTTTTAATCTGCTTTCACCCATTTTAAATGAAGAGAGATGGATTTATGAGATACAAATAAATAAGTGAATAAACCCCCCTCCATGACCACGCTTGCTTTCTTTTTGTTGTGCGAAGCCGCCTGCTCAGGATTTACAAAACCGGTGGAAATTTTTATTCTGTTATGAAAGAAAAATGACATGCTCTGGGTTTATCATTTTTGTTTTAATTGCCTTTGGAAAGAATCATATTTAATAAATGCATCTGACCATCTTTACAGCTGCTTTGAAGTCATTTTAATCTAATCAGTTTGTGTGTGTGACTGTGATGCCAGCAAGAGAATATCTGAATAAAATTCCACTAAAATCCCCTTAATTCCTGGAGAATGTGTTTGAAACCAATCCCACAAAACCACTTATTGAGCGATACACTGTCATTTAGTGACATAACTGCAGTCAGTGGCAACAGAAACCATTGTTCAGTGGAAGATTCATTTGTGGCCAGGAGCTTTCATTTGGTTTACAGGTAGACTTAACTCTCCAGAGTCTCTTTTCACTGGGCAGGAATGGATTAATCAAACAACAAACAAATATGACATTATTTTTATCTGGAAAAACTAGAATTACTGCCTCGCGGCTGTACGCCTCAGCCACTCAGATTAGTTTCAGGTTACATCCCCCTTATCTAGAATCATATAAAATATATATAACCATTTGTGTGCAATTTTGTCATAATTGCCAAGTGATGTCTTGAGTAATGGCTAAAAAGTTTTTTCTTTTCTGTGCCAAATTTGAAGGGATTCCCTTGAGGAGTTCTCGAGATATTGCATTCACAAGGCCAAAACTGTGTTTCATGAGGTCACCACGCCTTTGACCTTTGACCCCTAAAACCTAATAAGTTTGTCCTCAAGTCCAAGTGAATGTTTGTGCCACATTTGAAGCGACTCCCTCGCAGAGTTTGAGCTATTGTATTCACAAGGCCAAAATCATGTTTTGTGAGGTCATCGTGACCTTGACCTTTGACCTTTAGCCACCAAAATCTAATTAGTTCATCCTTGAGTCCTAGTGAATGTTTGTGCCAAATTTAAAGAAGTTCTGTCCAAGTGTCATTGAGATATCGTGTCCGTGAGAATGGGATGGACGGACAACCGGAAAACCTCGGGCTCTTGCTGCGGAGGCATAAAAACTACAGTTTAGTGCAATTTTTCCCCTTAACACACAAAACGTGCTGTTTGCTTGAACAGATACAGTAATCGATTATGTACAGGCATCCTGTACTTGTAGTTATATCGGTTTTAAATTAACAACAAGCTGGATGTTTGGACATAACCTTGTTACCTCAAAAGGCAAGAGTGTCTTCTGTGTGCAAGGTCACTTACAGTTCTACTGTATCAATAATTAATTACAAAATCATACAAAGAAAACGTTTTGTTAGCAATTATTAACAGTCTAAAAGTCCTGAAAGGCTTCATGTTCCACTCAGTGTTAACACAGCTTCATCCGAGCTTCTTTAGGAGGTCAACGGCTTCTTTATGGACCTGCAGAGGAAACACGTATCCAGTAAACCAACTGAGTATGTGCACATCAGCATGTATGACTCATGCATCAAAATTCCCAAAGGTAATTAAAAATCAACCTCGTGTAAACACAGTGAAATCACCTCTTTGTCTTCCAGTGTGTGAGCAGGGTACTCTTTAGCTTTGGTTAACCAGAACAGAGCTTTCTGCTTGTCTTTCATACCCATGTAGGTCTTCCCGAGCATCAGCAGGTTTTTACTGTAGAAGTCAGGATCAACTGAGAATAAATAAAATATGGAGACATTTATGAACAGTGAAGAAAACATTTTCCAGCCAAGACTTCTAGCTGCAGCCAACATTTTTCAGCAACTGCCTCAGTGAGTTGATTAGTATCCAGCATTTTACCCTCTTCAGCCTTCAGGAAGAATGCCAGGGCCTGAAAGGGACAGACAAACATGATTTCATCCACATTTGTAAAGGTGTCAAAGCTGTTTTAACACTGCAGTAAGAGGCAAAACAAAGAAAGAGACAGAAGTATCCTCACCTCCTCGTATGTGGACACAGGTGGTGACGCAAAGATTACAGCCGCCACCTTGCGTTGATACCACGGCAGCTCAGCAAAAGCAAAGCACCTGAGAAAGACATGGATTTCCCTGAATGAAAGCCTTAAAGCTGTTTACAAGCAGTATTTCTAACTGTGTTTGTGTCCTTGGGCTATAACAAACATGTTGAATGCATTTTCTTCCTCATGAAACACCAAGTATTTTGAAGGCAAAATTGTTTACATCCATGGTTGTTAGTTTGCAGCAATCTTATTCGTGGACTCCCCCCCCCCCCCCCCCCCCCCCCCCCCAACACTGCAGCATATGTTGGCACGTTACCTGACGGGAGGTAACGGAGAACCACTCACAGAAAAACGGCTCCACAACACTACTAGAGGTCTTGACTCCACAGAGAACCTTTAAGTGACTTATAGCTCTAATAATAATTGGCTCACTAGTAAGATCTTGGATAAAAGATCTGATATTGCAACTGTTTCAATTAGCATTTGAATTAGTTACACCTGCCAAGTCAAAATGTTGCTGTGAAAAAGGTCCGTCGGAAGGACCTTCATGTCCCCCTCAGGATGAATTGTTGCAGGCTAGTCTCCACTCTTAATATGTTTTTTCTGACATTTTTCTCTTGATTTAATAAAGACATGTAACAGGCCAAACTCACACTGGAGACACTGTTATTACATGGCCAGAGTCTTCAAACCATAAACTACAAACATCCAGTCTTCTGCAGTCTGGATGATGATGATGATGATTGCAGGTCACAGTGGATCGAGGAAGACAGACGTGCAGAGTGGCACAGGAATGGTTTTCTGTTCTTCAGCTCAGAAAACACAACACTTTCTCATGTAGCACTACAATTTGTATTAGTGAACTACTGTCCGATACACAGTAAACAACAGAGTGAAGTCACCTCATACCTCAAACCCTGTGGGTTTTGCTTTAAAAACAGCAACAGTATTATTTCTCCTTCGAACGAACATGTGGTTAAGATTTGATTATTTTTGTTTTTACACACTTTTCCATCTGGTTTACATCCAATTCCGTTTGCTTTCTTTGGGCCTCTAATAGTGACAAACATCTTGTTCATCACCGCCCCCCTGCACCAACAATCAGTCCACTGCCAGCATCAGCTCCCTTTACCTCCGCAAAGTCTTAGAAGAAACACTGAGCTGTCAAATCTAAAACAGACATGTTTATATCCATGTCTGACTTCATGTGCGGAATAAAGCTCTCACCAGTAACCCAGGATGTGTAAGGAAGTGGCATCTTTGGGATTCAGCTCGACGGCTCTCTAGGAAAAAGAAAAATGTTTCACTTCAAAATATAGATAAATGTGACACAGTGATAATAACACATCGACACAAATGTCCTCTCACCTCTAGATGTTCCCTGATGATGTATGAATTTCCTATTTTCACCTTGACTCCCTCGTAATCCCCGACGTCGCTGAGACACACAGCGTACCACTACATCAGGAAAAGGAACAAAGCTGAAGGTTTTTTGTCATAAAGGGCTGATCAACATCCTTCAAGTGGATTCATTTCATTTATTGTTTAAGAAAATAAGGACACACACACACACACACACACACACACACACACACACACACACACACACACACACAATGTTTTAACCTTGTGTGCTGCAAAACACTTGTCATCTTTCTCCAGTGCCCTCTTGGCGTATTCAAAGGCCTCGAACATCAGCTGCTTCTTCCGCTCGGCCTCCATGTTGGGCAGGAGGGACAGGTCCCGAGATGCCCGGGCCAACCTCCACAGGAACTCTGCATCGTCACTGGATGGATACAAGTGTATACAGGTTTATTTAGATGTACTTAGATGTGTGTATGTATTAAATGTTTTACTTTGGTGCCCCCTGGTGGCAGATACAAATGCACTCTACCATCTACCACTCACCTGTCCTTGTACTGCAGCAGCAGTTGGTAGAGTTTCTCGGTCTCTGCACAGCTATACAGGTAGTCAGCCTGCTCCAAAACCTCCTCTGCACAGGCACAAAACAGAACAGCAAATTTAGTCAGAAAACTTTTCTTTTCTTCTTTTTAAAACAGCTGGTAACATGAATTTCTATATATAGAGTTCACATTTTCAAAAACTCTCCACACAGTCAGAATAACAGCAGTCAGAGTGGACATTTCTCTCAGGTAAAATGTATTCAGTCATCACATCCACCAAAACCCCGTGAAATGTTTTCTCACTCAGACTCTGCCACTACTAAACCTCTGTGTTTTGTTGTCTTCTGGTACCAGCTTCTTAAATGTGAAAATTTGTTAGTTTCTGTTTTCTATGATAATTAACTCAAAATATTTTTGACTGATGCTTTAAAAAGAACAAAAACAAAACAACACAACACAACACACACCTGAACGTGTTCACGTGGCCTTCAGAGAATACAAATTAATTTTCACTATTTTCTGACATTTTATTCACTGAACAAATAATCAAATGATTATGGAAAAATAAGTATCAAACTATTATTACAAGTATTGATAATTAAAAGAATTGTTGGTTGCAGCCTCACTGTCCTGTGATGGACTAAGATCACCTAACCTAAAGTTTTCTGTCTGGTAATTACGTCACACACACACACACACACACACACACACACACACACACACACACACACAAAAAAAAGGAACTGATCTTATAAAACAAAAACTTTACAACAAATGAGCAACAACTAAAAATTAAAGCAATTAAAAAGGTCCTGAAACTATTAAAACACTTAGACCGGGCTACAAGATGGACCCGTCAGACTATATTCTACTTTCAAGTGGTGCAAATTACTAATTTTCCATCGATCAACAATGAGGACAGAAAGAGTAAACCTTGGCAGTTGCATGTTTCCCAGTGACTCATCCTTGTATTTTTTACATTTACATTCTGTTGTAAGTTCAAAAGATGACCTCCATGAAAGACATGTACCAGGTGATGAAAGGGGGCAGGTGAGACTGAATCCAGAACAGTTTGAAAGATGTGATGTTTCTCTGTTCTCTCCCAGTTACATACTGGTTTTACAGCCAATCCCAAGATGGAGTCACTTTTCCTTCACCCTTACTCTCCACTCCTCAGCCCCTCAGAGAAACTCTCCTCCTCATGGATGGGTGACAGTATATGATCAGGGTGGATCAGGCTGCAAAAAGATTCTGTCTCTTGATTGAAATACTTAAGTTTCATTAGGTGTACTTGGCATTACTCATGATAAAAAGGCAAAATAAAATTTTTAAAAATGAATTAAATAAAGCCTATTGAAGCAGAGTGCAACATTTGTGATGGATACTATTAAGTAGCATAGTTGAGAATGTAGATAGATATATACTTTATTTATCCCCAGTCCAGTCCCATGTCCAGCATCTCATTAATAGTAATAATAATTAAATTAATAATAAATAAATAAATAAATAAATAATGAACAATACATATAATACAATAAAATTAGTCCAGTTCATGAGCCACTTCCTTTGGCAATAGACAGTGGTGATAAATATTATAATATTGCCTGTTAATGTGTTTTAGGTCAGTGTGTTGTGAGTGACAGTTTTCTTGAGATGTGGATCCCGTGTTTTGGTCGCATTAGTGTCACAGTATTTTGGATGCGAGAGAATCTGTAAAGAGAACTGTGTGAAGAGTCATGAAAACGTTGAGTGCCAACATCTGTATTTGAACAACATCTCCCATGTTGTACAATTTGCCAACTACCTTGTCCTATAGCATGGAGCACGGCTAAACTCTGCATCCGGTTATAAGCTTCATATCCCAGGCAGGAGAGGGCAGGGAGCCCCAGGAGTAAAGCAGCTCTTCCACTCTGCACAGGAAAAAGGAGGTGACGGGTGTTAAAGTGGTTCATGGCTTGCTGGCTGTTATTTACAATGATCAGTCTGAGGTGACCCCAGGTAACCTGGACAGTTTGGAAGCCCGGGGTCACCGCACTGTACAGAGTTTGATCAACTTCAAGTAAAACGCAGTTAAATCATAGACAGTCGTCCTGGTCGTCACACTAACCCTGTTCTGTTTTAGTCCCAGGGTTAAAGCTGCTGCCCTTTCACCTACATAAGCTCAGAAGCAGCGGTTTAGCAAAGCCCTAAACTTCTCTGTGAATCAGGTAAACAGTCTCATGCAGGAAAACAATATCACCGTCTGATATTTACGGCCAGAGCAGCGGCGCTCCTCCTCGAAGTAGTGGTCCAGTAACACCGGTTAGTGCCTCTGACTCCGGCGCCTCTTGCAGTGGACGGGGTCCTGCTCACAAACCTGGTACACGCTCTCCAAGCCATTGAGTCCGAAGTCTAAACACTCAAACATCAGTAACAGCAACGGAATCACTAATTTATAGCAAATACAACCAGGGAGCATTCAAGACCACAAACAGAAAACTGTAAAACAAATAGAAAACTGCAAAAAGACAAGACAAGACAAGAACACACATACTTTATATTTCATTGCCTTAAAATTGTGACTCATGTAGTTACATTTAACACTATCTTTTTCATCTTGATTACTTTTATCCCCCCTTGTTTATTTTTCTATATTGTTGTATCGGTAGTCTTTTAACACAACCCCTCACACACACCATCACATGCACATTGTGTGTGTGACAAATAAATATTTTTTAAAAAGTAATATACATGTTTTTAACTAGACTGTAAGGAGGTCCACAGAGGATTATTAAAAACAAACAGACAAACAGGAGCAGTTTAAACTGGAGCTAACACCGGAAGGTCTTCTAGCGGCTAATATAAATGTTTCATTCTTGAATGCACCCCGGCGAAGTCTGTTCCCTGCAAATGCAGTCGACGGCTTACATCAAACTCTCGTGAGAGTTCCGTTGTAACGTTCGTCGGGAATATTGTGCAGTAATTATTTAAAGTGTTCTCGTACAAATGCAGCAGACACACGTGAACAAGTGGTAACATTTTATCAGGGACCTCAGAGAAAACCACGACTGACGCTCCCGGAAGGGTAGGTGGTGAGCTGGTGAGTCGCTGCTCCGCCCTGGCTCCCCAGCTGTTCTTGTCAGATAAAGGTTTCACAAAAACGACCGCAGGCGACAGCTAAGCAGGTGAGCCAGTCTGAGTGAGTTTTCAGCTAATAGAAAGAGACAACATGTTTCTGAGGAGACTTATCTTGCTGGTGGTGTTAGTTTGGTGCACCAGGCGCCACACCCACCAAACTACCCGCATGTCCAAGTAACGCGAATTGTGTCTTAGTCTATACTTTGTGTGTTTAATTCTGTTATTATCATCATCGCACCATTTATATAGTCGTCGATTGTACTTCAGTACAAACTGATACACGCTGCGGCCTGTTAAAGGTGTGTGTAAAACATGTAATATATAATTATGTGGAATACATTTCTTAAATGTTGTACGGTAGAAATTTAAAGCAGCAGAAACATTTGATACAGTACTTGAATAGCCTACATGTTCCTGGTCTGAATCGCCCCCGGACAATATATGTGAATCATCTGTGTGATTATCTTAGTGTAACAAGCTGCCATGGCCTTAAGTGGGGCCTCAGCGCCAGCAGCCACTCATTGGGCCACCAAGGTGGAGCTCACCATCTCCTGTGAGAATCTCATGGACATGGACGTCTTCTCCAAGTCTGACCCCCTGTGTGCCTTGTACATCAACACTTCAGGCTCCCATTGGTATGAGGTCTGTATTTGGTCATGGCACAAGATTTCCAGCTGGATAGGGGTAGGTTAAGGGAAATTTAATTTACAAAGCTGAGCGGCCGATCCTCTGTTTATTGCACCTCTTACTGTTATGAATATGTGTAAGGCATTTAAGATAAAACATTAATGTTGTCTGATGAGTTTTTATTCTCTCAGGGATTATCTTGACCAGATTTGACATGACAAGTGTATTTTCCATCTGTACTGATTTGATGTATATCTTGAAAAAGAGGTGAAAATTCCCTTTTTTGCATTTTCACAGATAGAATTAATTGTTGAATTGTTTTAAAGAGTCTTTATCTTCTTTGGGATTATCTAGATCAGATTTGACATGTGTAAGTGTAGTGGTTTTTCATCTGGACCTCATGCAATGTGTTTTAGATGTGAAAAAAGCAGCAAAATGTCCGTTTTTGCATTTTCACAAATATAATGAAATTTTCACAAATCAGACAGAATGTTTTAAAGAGTCTTTATCTTCTTTGGGATTATCTAGATCAGATTTGACATGTGTAAGTGTAGTGGTTTTTCATCTGGACCCAATGCAATGTGGTCTAGATGCAGGAAAAAACAGTTAAATGTACCTTTTTTGCATTTTTACAAACAAAGGTTTTCACTATTTATTTATTTTTTATCTTACACTAGATGTACTTTTTTTTTCTTTATGATTCAGTTTGGGCGCACAGAGATGATCCTGAACTGTCTGAATCCAAAGTTCTCCAAGAAGTTTATCATCGACTACTATTTCGAGATGGTGCAGAGGCTGAAGTTTTGCGTGTATGATATTGACAATAACACCTATGACCTGGAAGATGATGATTTTCTGGGGGAGCTTGAATGTACCTTGGGCCAGGTGAGCTTCACCTTGTACAGTTTTAAGAGAAAATTTTGGGTTGTCCGTTCACCTTTTCATTCTGTTCTGTGATGTCGCTGATGATGTTTTGTGTCCAGATTGTTTCCAGCAGGCAGATAACTCGACCTTTGATGCTGAAAAACCTGAGGCCTGCAGGTCGTGGGACCATCACAGTGAGTGGACTCTCCTTTCTGAAAGATGTATAGAAGTGATAAGCTATGCTGCAGCTTTGACTGAGGCACTCTCTTTGTGGACATAGACACACTGGACGGAATGGACTCCAGTGTGCTCAGGCAGTTGCAACATAAGTGTGTCAGGTAGATAGCACCTATAATAACAGACCAAGTGTCTCACAGTTGTTTTTAATGCACATGTATGTGCTGTATACGGTTACACTTTTCAAGGATTACTGGAGGTTTGGCATTGCACTGCTAGTTACCGAATGTTTGTTCACCCTCTGGCCCCCAGAGTTTGGTTCATTTTTGACAGTTTTCTGCACATTTTTTGTCTTTAACACCTTTTGAATCGTCCTCACCACACATGCATGGGGTACTTTTTTTAAGCACAAACTCAGCTTTAAGTCTGATTTCACGTGTTGTCAGTGTAACAAAACTGCCAGGAACCCAAAATACAAGAGAAATCGCACAGACCCCAATAAAGATTTTCAAATCTTCAGGGAGCATCACTCAAAATATTATTATAGAACAGTGCAAGGTTGTAAAAAAATATTCACTTTTTCTACACACCAATACAGCGGAAATTGTAAGAAATAAAACCACAATACATTATGTTCAGAAAGTATTCAGACCCTTTCAGTTTTTGCAAACTTTTACAAAAATTAACAAAACATTTTATCCCAACTTGTTTTTGTGCCTTGTTCATCCAAAGTCCGTGTAAACCTGTAAACCACCGAAAATATAAACATTTCAGCTTTAGAAAAATGTATTAGGAATATATAAAATTATCTTCAGACATAAATGAGACATGGAATGAAAGCTTCACATCAGCACTTTCAGCTGGTTTCCTCAGCTAGTCTCTACATGACATACAAATAAAGTTATGTCATTATAAATAATACATTCTCACTGTATTCACTGACGAGTGGGCTGACTCCAGAAGGTTAAAGGAAGAATTAGACATACTCTATAACTATATATCCGCTGCTGGTTATCGTGATTGATTGCTTCTCTGTCATTAGTATAAGTTGACATGAATGTGCTTTTGGCTGTTTACTCATCTCACTTTACACAATTTCTGGGTTTTGAAAACTCCCAAAAAAGTTATCTGTCATATGGCCCAAATTACAAGACTGAACAAACCTTAAAGAGTTTTGATTCCTTGTTTTATTTTTTTGTTTTTTATGATAGATCTGTGCTGAAGAAATAACAGACACCAGAGTGGCAGAGTTTGAGGTGTCAGGGCGCAGGCTGGACAAAAAGGTACTGAAAGTCAATTTAGATCTGGCATTAGGGTTTTTCATTATTTGTACTGCCTTTATATAAACTTTATAGACCTTTTTAAGTGCTGTAAATTATTAATCGCATACGGTTGTTCAGTTTTTGTGGTGGTCCGACCCTTTCCTGGAGTTCTTCAAGCTAACAGAAACTGGATGGCAGCTGGCTCACAGGACAGAGGTACAGATATTTACCAACAACTCATTCACCTGCTTGCACTGAATTATTGTAGACTTGTGGTTAATAGTAACATGCTTATCTAGGTCGTTTACAACAACCTAAACCCGATTTGGAGACCCTTCCGCATCTCAGTGCGATCTCTCTGTGGAGGAGATGTGGAAAAGCCTATAAAGGTAAATGTGTGTTTTGTTTTTTTTTTTACCATTTTAGTTTTTTTTTTTTAAAATCTGAGTTAATTTGCTCTGTGAAATGCAGCCTATTTTCTTTTCTTTCTACCCCTGAATAATGCTTTGAGTTGTTTAAAACAGCAAATTTCTTATTTTTTTGATTAGTTTTTGTTCGCTTGATTGACCATATGAGCCTAACCTACTAATAATTCATCTTGTAATTGCATTTTTTCTCCCTATTTTAAAATGCTCCCAAACTTAAAAGTGGAGAGCTTGCGACCCGGCTGGATAAGCAGTGTGTGTGTGCATGCACGATAATGACGTCACCACGTGAAGGTGTGCGGTTTTTGCGTTGTTCTTTTTACTTAGTTTTGTTACTGCATTTAAAATTGATGTGAAATGTTACTTTATTCATGCATGTGAGATGTGACCTTTGTAATTTATTGTAGGCTTTATGTTTTAATTATATTTATATCACATCCATTAACAGAGAAACTTGTAGTATAAGGGGATTTTCCTCAGTAGTTTAAAAAATGTTGCTATTAACATATCACTTAAGAGTTTTTACACCCTGACAGAACTAACCTTTCTTATCATTTACTTATTACTGTTTTTTAATGAAAATGGAAATATATATTTTCTGTGTCACATGTCACAGGAGGTCTTTCTGTTTGTCCTCAGGTTGACTGTTACGACCATCATGTGAACGGCTCCCATGTTCTTATTGGGAGCTTTAGAACCACTCTAGCAGAGTTGCAAACGGGAACACACATTTGCCCGGTGAGCCTTTTATATGTGTATGTGTTTGATTCCAACTCTACCAATAAAACGGCTGTCATTTATTTATACTTAAAGTGGCATAGATATGACTCTGTTCTCACTTGCAGGCTGAATTTGAGTGTGTTAACCCCAAAAAGTTGAGGAAGACAAACTATAAAAACTCTGGGGTCATTTGCGTCAAGCGCTGCCAGGTAATGAGTTAGAAACTATGAATTGGAGTGTTTACTCCTCATTGATCTCTGTGTCAGCCAGTAGATTTTCTGCCTGTGAATAGATGTGCGTTGGCACATTTTTTGATTCATTTTTAGAGCATGCATTTTAAAGACAATTCTTCATACATATGTAACCGCCCTCGCTGGTGTTTACTGCATCGCAACACACAATTAACATCATGTTTACTCTTTCAGGTGGTGAAGGAGTATACCTTCCTGGATTATATTATGGGGGGCTGTCAGATCAACTTCACTGTGAGTCTGGAAATGTTGGACACACGATGTTATTACTTTAATACCTTTTTTTTACTTCATGTTCACATTTTAGAAATTTGATTGCTGAGAAGCGTCCTATATCTTGAACTATATCCTCTCTTGGATCTGGCCCAGATTGCCATTGACTTCACAGGCTCTAACGGGGATCCTAGCTCTCCCCAGTCCCTCCACTACATCAACCCCGAGGGCTACAATGAATACCTGACAGCCATCTGGGCAGTGGGTAAAGTCATCCAGGACTATGACAGGTGAATCCAAACTGCTACATCCAACACTAACCACCACCTAACTGCACCATTGTGCCTCCACCCTTAGAAAGAAAATTGAAAAAGAAAAAAGTGAACATTGAATTGGACAAAAAACCTGCCAGATATTATCCAAAAGTTTTTAATCACTGGACAAATCTTGTGGGTTTTTCATAGTAATGGGGACACTGGTTTGAACAGCACTGCTAGAGCATTCATTATTTTGCTAATTGTTAGTTTATTAAAAACTAATCTTTATAATTTGTATAATGTATAATTTCTTACTTGACAATCTGTGTATCAAGATAGTCAGATACAACTCTTGCAAAGACCACATACTACAGGATTTAGATTCAAAGCTTCTTTGATCTACTGACTATTGTGTTCATGGTGTACCCTTACCTTTATTTTGTCTGCCTTTCTGTATAGTAACAAGATGTTTCCTGTCTTTGGTTTTGGAGCCCAGGTCCCTCCCTCCTGGCAGGTATGAAAAATCTTGAGAAATCCTAACTGTAGACATCAGATATTAATGACTTGATAAGGTCATAGCACTCTGTGCTCTCACAGTTCTGCAAGATGTTAAAGTAAGTCAAAGACATTTGATTTTATTGTGATTGTTTAAATTATTCTGATACATGATATGATAATATGTTTTATAATTTACCTGGATCGTAGTGTAAATGTTAATTATTTATGCTCTTGTGATTTGAGCCATGAAATAATTTTATACAGTTGGTAAGACTTTGGGCTTCAGACAAGATCAACAGACAATGGGCCTCATTCACCAATATCTTCTTAAATTCTTTAAGTTGTTCTTAAGAAAGTTCTTATGAAAACTTCACGTCAGATTCATGAACGTGTTCTTAAACTGCAGAATTGTGCGCGTCTGTGTTCTTAGACTGATGAATGCCAATCTCCCCATAAATTGAAAGCGTGTGCCAGTTGCAAATTAGCAAAATTAGCAAAGGTAAACGCCGGAAAATGCCCATAACAGGGCATGAGACTGAAGGGTCGTGTGCAGACACAGACAGAAGTCACAAAGAGATACGAAAATCTAAAGATGGAGCTCTGGAATCAAAACGCAGTGGAGGTACTGGTGCAGGAAGTGAGCCGCAAACAAGCAGTTAAGTGTTAATGTAGCGTTCATTTATTTCAAAAGACCATAATGCTTTGTAAAATAACAAAAGTTTTTTTTTTTTTTAAATATTATAAATGACAAAAATATTATTGTCATTTAAATAATGTAATAGACCTATAATATAACTGTAGAACCGAAGAAAACACAATAACCACTTATTTTGTTCAAACGTGTGCTCTTGAGTGCGCATAGATTCTGTTCTTACCTAAAAACAAATCCCAACTAAGAAAACATTGGTGAATGTCAGAATCTTCATAAAAAGTGCGTAAGTGGGTTTTAAGAAGGAATTTCTTCTTAAGAAAGGTTGGTGAATGAGGCCCAGTATTTTTATGACTTTCTGAAATTCAGATGTTTGTGTAAAATTGTCATGGACTGTATCCTAAAGCTTTTATGTGACTCATGCTTACAGGTTTCCCATGAGTTTCCTATCAATTTCAATCCAGCAAATCCATTCTGTGCAGGTAGGTTTAAGATTGTCCCAAAACTGTGTTTATTTGTTAAAAGTTGTTCAGTAATGCTCCATTTCGCTGGGGTGTGTGTGTGTGTGTGTGTGTGTGTGTTGCAGGCATAGAAGGTGTGGTAGAGGCATACCAGAAGTGTCTACCCAAGCTGAAGCTCTGGGGTCCCACCAACTTTTCTCCGATTATCAAACATGTCGCCTGCTTCGCCAGACAAGCTCTCCAGCAGAATAGGGCCTCAGTAAGTAGCCAAAGAGCAAGTGTTGAAATACTCAGTGGTCAGAAACCTATGGACACCCAAGAATCAAATATTTGTAAGGATCCGTTAAGACAGCAGTACTTTCTTATGGAAAGACTGAAGAATTTAGAATTGAGGTATTAAAGGTTTTTGTTTTTTGAGTGTTTTTCAAGATGTTGCATGTTTGCATATTTATTTTGTTGTATCTAATTAATAAAAGGTAAATAAACTTCTTGCTCCCATTATGAATAATTTGTCAGAGAACATCAGTCAAGTTGACTTTATTTCTAGAGCACATTTAAACACAGGTTGAACTGACCAAAGGGATGTACAAAGGACAATTAAACCAATTAACAAGTAAGGGAAAGGAAAGCAGGTAAATATACTGTATAAGAGACCTAAAAATATACCAACAAAAACAAGAAGCATGTAGGAGGGATGCGCTTTGAGAGCTGAGAGATCTAGGAGCTGAGTACCAGTGGATAAGATCTGTGACATAAGGTGAGGACTGGTCATTAAAGGAGCCTTAAACGTAATCAACAGGGTCTTAAATTGAATTCTGAAGTGAACAGGAAGCCAGTGAAGGGAGGCTTACACTCGGGTGATGTGCTCACGTTTTTCAGTACCAGTCAGAAAAGGGTTCTTAACTGATAGTAACTACTTTTAACAACAGAGGTGATATGTTTTTCAAGACAGAGCTTGAAATCAAGGATTACGCCCAGGTTTCTTGCATGAGGCTTCACATATAGGATGAGGTGGTCTAGCTTACTTGTGAGGAGGCTTCTGGATTTAGAGGAACCAAATATACTGTATGTACTTTGGTTTTGTTGATGTTTAACTGAAGGAAGTTGTTTATAATCCAGACCTTAATGTGCTTGAAACATACCAGGAGAGATTGAAGGGAGTCCATAGATTTTAGTGAGAGATACACCTGCGTGTCGTCAGCATGTTTTCTGATGATGTTTCCAAGGAGAGGCATGTATAGGCTGAATAGGACTGGCCTGAGGTTGGAACCCTGGGGAACCCCATAGGTGACAGGGGCGGAGGAGGAGGACAACTAGTCTATAGCCAGTGAAAATGTCCTAAAAGGATGTCATGGTATCAAAGGCTGCACTAAGATCTAATAGAACGAGGATGGCATTTTTCCTGGCGTCAACAGTGAGCAGTAGTCATCCTTAACAGAGCTGTGGAGGGCTTTGAACCCTTATTGGAATTGATCTAGGATGTTGTTGGTATTCAGAAATGGTACCAGTTGTGATAGTCGTGACAATTTTTTTCCAATATTTTTGAAATGAAAGGCAAACTAGAGATGGGCCGTTAGTTATTTAGACATTTAACATCGAGATTGTGATTTTTGAGATAATGAGTTGAACACTAGGGCCAATTGTGTCGAAGGCATACTTTTTGCACAAGGTAGAAGTAGTGAGTTTCATGTGCATCAGTGATTTAAAAAATGTTGTTGCTTAGAGAGTAGGCCAATTAATAATCTATAAACTGTATCCTAATGGTTCAGTCACTAATGCTGACTACAAATCAAGAGCCAAGTGGGATTAAAACGATTATTGAAACAAATGAGGAAATGATTGTGTCTTTGTGTTCTTTTACATCTGATCTGTTTTCTGTTTCCATCTGCAGCAATACTTTGTGCTGCTCATCATCACAGATGGAGTGATCACAGACATGGACCAGACCCGCACTGCGATCGTAGAGGCCTCTCGTCTGCCCATGTCTATCATCATAGTGGGTGTGGGTGGGGCAGACTTCAGTGCAATGGAGTTCCTTGACAGTGATGACAAATTGTTGCGTTCGCCAATGGGTGACGTCGCCGCGAGAGACATCGTCCAGTTTGTGCCCTTCAGAGATTTCCAAGTAAGCAGCGGAGATATGGTGGAGAAAGTGTTTCATAAGAATTAAGTAATAGATTTAAGTAGCTCAGTGGTAACTTGGCTGAATGTGGGGCACTTCCTGAAGCACTGAACCCTACCAGCAAAGTGGTTCGGGAAAAGATTCATTTCTTGATGCCTCATATTAACAATACAGCATGTAGCTACTGGCCAGAATGTAACATAGGCAAATACTAACGTTTGTATATTACTAATTAAATATCAGTATAAGAGAAACCAATATTGATTTTTTTATTTTTTTTATTTTTTTATACTCTAAGCATTATCACTTAATTATATCAGACTGTAGCCATGTTCTTGTGATCTATCCTGAAAAATTATATCAGACCGAAACCATCAAAATAACATAATGTAATGTCTCTTTTATATACAGTGCAGTACTTCACATACAGTGCTTCTAGATCCTCTCAGCTCCTGAATGTGTGTTTTTTACTGTCATCTGATTGGAGCTATTGTACTCTATGGTTGGTAGTTGTTCCAACAAATCATCTGAGCTTGACTGAGCCATGTACAGTATTTGTATTTGCAGGAGGGACAAGATGTCCTCATTATTAGTGTGGGTGACAGACCTTGAGACTAACACTTTCTTTTTCTTGTCATTGCAGGGAAACAGCACAGCCCTCGCCCAGAGCGTCCTGGCGGAGCTGCCTGATCAAGTGGCCTCCTTCTTCAATTCTTACAAGCTGAAACCCCCTAATATATTCAATGTCTCTGATCCTTCCTAGAAAGGTGGGATAATAAACCCAAATACCTCATATTTACTACTTGCCTGCGTCACCTGCATCCTCTTTCTGTTTTTATTGTATGGAATGGTGCAAATCAATACCAAAAAGTGTCCTTTATAGCTTCTGCTGTAAATGTGGGGTAAAAAGAATAATAACAACAAAAAGAAATCATAATTAACCCCAAATCCGTGACTGGATTTAATATTGTTTAATATGTATTTTAAAGTTCATAAAAGAAAAAACACAGTGCCTTGTAGTGCATGAAACCAAGCAGTCATCAAGCAATCACATAAATGCAATCACATTGAACTCTGTGCTAAAAATGTATCGCTTAACATGTTGATGTGACTTTGTTGATTAAATGTCATTATTTCTTGTACATTTCTATGTTTGAATGTTTTCTCAGTCTTCTCTGTGTTACTTTTTCTCTGCTGTTATTTTGGCACCATCTCTCACTGCTGTAACCCATAGTTTTGTTTCTTAATCTTCAAATCATCTGAGAGAGCACTGTGCTCATACAGTGTGTGGTATAGCTTATGCTGTGTATCCAGGCAGTGTGCTGGGAAAGGCTGTGTAAGCACCAGCACCATCAAACTGAAGTGACGCTGTTCCTCTTGCAGACCTTGTTGGCACAAGTCCTGGTTGCTCCGGTACATGAAAGCAAAGTTTAATTATGCCTCTGCGCCAGAGACAGCCAGTCTGTCCCATTCTCATGGAAAGGATATCTCAGTAACGACCTGAGGGAATTTTGTCATATTTGGTACAATTGTTCACTTGGACTCGATGATGAGCTGATTCGATTTTGGTGGTCAAAGGTCAAGGTCACGTTGACCTCTAAACACAAGGTTCTGGCCTTGTGAATACAATATCTTGAGAGCTCTTCAAGGGAATCCCTTCACATATGACACAAATGTCCAATGGGACTCAATGATGAACTGGTTAGATTTTGATGGTTAAGGGCTAAAGGTCAAGGTTGGTGTGACCTCACAAAACAATATTTAGCCATAACTCAAGACTTCACACAGCAATTATGACAAAATTTCACACTAATTGCTAATATTTTATATGACTCAGCAATGTAATCTGAAACTAGTCTGAGTGGCAGAGGCATACAACCCTGAGGCGGTGATTGTAGTTTACGTATGAAATGAGCTGTGTCCCTACACTGTGGGTTTCAGGCACATGGCAACTGAATTTGAAGGAGTTTGTGAAAGCAGTCATAATAAGATTTTTTTTTTCACTTGCATCAGTGCTGTCAAAGCTATGTTCACAACTAACAAGACACTGCTATGACCAAGTTGACACGTTGACTGGCTCATGCTGCCAGAAATAAAACAACCAAGATAATGAACTAAAATGAAACCTCTTGATATCACCCCTGGAGCAGGTTAATATGGACATTTTGTCCTTGAACGTCCACATCAGGGAACCACAGTTCTCCTCTTAGAACCGGTAATAATGGATGTGGGGGTTCTTAATGTTCTGCTGTGCTCCCTTTTTTCTGAGTATTAAGTCCAGGATTTGTAAATTTGTGACTGGGGAAAGCAGACCCGGCTTTACTGCATGACTTTCACAAAGTGTACACAAAGTCTCTTAATATATAATCAAATTTCCACTTTTGTGAAGCTGTGTCTATGGCCATTCTACACACTCAACCGATGTGTAATATTTACCAGCTCTACTGTGCTTTCTAGAAACGTTCAGTTTAGGGAGTACTTTGGTCTCCGCCTGCTGAGGGTCCCTGTACAGAAAACGAACGCACTGGGCACCGCCCTCCACAGAAGCTAGACTTTCTGCTTACAATAAAACACAGCAGACAGCCAACTGGATAACCAGGTAGGACAAACTAGGAGATACGTAGCCTTGGGTTATTTGGTGTTCGCTGGCAAGATAAATATGGACACAGCGCCTTTATTAAATACTGTTTACTTTCGTGACTGACATGGTACCCGTGTTAAACCTTTCCTCGTATCATGTGACCATAAACTGGCACGCAAACAAGCTTGCAGTCGTTTAAGTGAACGTTGTGGACGTAATACTCGTTATACCAGAGACAGTAGAGGTACTTTGGTTTTACTTTATCTGTTTGAATGACAATAAACGTGAGTGAAATGTCTTTCTGCTGCGGGCCGGCCTCTGTCATGTCAGCTATGTAGGAACGTTTTAAGCTGCAGTTTGGGCAGTCTAATTTGACGCTACGTCAACTAACGTTATGTTACTAACAACGTTAGTCAGTTCGCTTAATAATGAATAGAAGCTGCATGTTTACCGTAATAATTACAAGCAAGGCAAGCCTTAAATACAGGCTTCAGCTAACGCTAGCACCGTTCAAAACGGCTCAATCCACTGTACAGTTAAATTTTCACTCCTGGTTGCATTTGTTTTCATCACCTCCTAATGGCTCTGCGCTTGCCGTTAGGCAGCAGCACCCTAGAGGAAAAATTCGATGTTTAATTAATCAGATGGCGTTGAGTGGATGTAGTGTTGACCGAATCTACGAAAAGACCCCAACGATTAATTAAATCTCGTAATGAGATGTATTCTAAACGCTGAGTATTTATAGTCATAAACACGTTGATAAGCAGTCTTTTTTGCATGTAGTGCGCCGTGATAGCGAAAGTGGGCAATTGATCAATATTAACATCTGCCTGGTGTGGTGTTTCATAAGAATTAAGTAATGGATTTAAGTAACTCAGTTGTAACTTGGCTGAATGTGGGGCACTTCCTGAAGCACTGAACCCTACCAGCAAAGTGGTTCGGAAAAAAAGATGAATTTCTTCATGCCTCATATTAACAATACAACATGTAGCTACTGGCCAGAATGTAACATAGGCAAATACTAACGTTTGTATGTTACTAATTGAATAACAGTATAAGGGAAACCATTCTAGATTTTTTTTACACTAAGCATGCCTCTATATTTATTCCTGTAAAGGCTGTCAAAATATCTATGCATCAGATGTATTAATATCAGTCAAGGTAGGATCAATGTGTGTTTTAACTGAAATGAAGTGAAAATTGAGACATGTACAATGGGAAATGACTTTGGAATAAACACTTTATTTATATTTATTAATAAATGACTGTTGAGACCCAAACATTTTTTAATGATTTCCCCTGCCGATAAGAATAATCTTCCACAGGGCACAGAGAAGGCTGGGGTTCACAAAAACCTCATTGCCAGCTTGTAAAGGCGTGGGTAAATTCATTTCTGTCTTTTCCAATATTTTAGTGAATCCTCAAGCCATTTAATATTTCTTTATATGCAGTCACTGGGGATAAATAAGATCAAAGTGTTGCCAAACTGGAGAAGTGTCTTTCCCTTGGTGGGTCAATCACAAATATGTCCAAACCACCTGCACACAAAATGTCAGTCACTGTTATAAACCTAAAACTGAAAATATATCATTTCTCCTGGAGGTCTCATACACACAGTCAAAAGTTGCTCCATATTATGAACTCCCATCAAAAGCAGTGAAGTGGTACAGACGGTAAGCGAGGCTGCTGTCTCTAATGTTACACAGGAAGCCTTGACCGCTCATGTAACAACATTACAGATCACTAATTACCCTGTTAGAAATGTAATAAGTAATGTATATGTTTTAATTGCTTCATCAAAGTAATGTTACTTATTACATTAGATTACTTTTTGATTTTTTTTCAGTACCATCAGAAAAGTCACAACTTAATCACCCCTCAAAGTTAATATTTAATGAAAACACAATGCTGAATTGATTTAGTGTATTAGATGTCACACCTGTCACCTGTCTGACCCGTGTTCTCAACACAAATGGCAAAAGAAGTCGTTCCTGCTCGGCCAAAAAATGCAAAGCGATAGAATGGATGTTAAATTCCTCAGCTTTTTACTAAAAAGAATATATTCAGACATAACCCCTTCATAATCACCAACATTTTGAGTAGTAAATGTATTTTAATTTAATTTGATTTTGTCTCAGTAGTCACTGTGCTGTATTAAATGGTGCCTCCAGTTTTTTGAAATGTGGTTTATCTGTGTTCATGTTTGTCAGCTCTTGTATGTGAGTGTGTCCTCTAGGCCGAGATGGCAGCAGGTGGAAACCCAGGACCGAGGGTCACTGACTGTGTGACCAAGGTGGCGCTGAGCATTTCCTGTGAAAATCTCCTTGACATGGACACTTTCTCAAAGTCCGACCCCCTGTGTGTGCTATTCATGAACAGCTCTGGGTCCCAGTGGTGTGAGGTACGTGGCTATAAAGGCTGTTCTTACACACACACACTATTCAGTGAAACTTTAAATGTAATGTTAATGTTTAAATTTAATATGTACAAAAAAAATCCTTGACTCTGTAACATGTATTTGTGTTAGATTGGCCGGACAGAGAAAATAAAGAACTGCCTTAATCCCAGCTTCTCCAAGACTTTTGTCATCGACTATTACTTTGAGATGGTGCAGAAACTGAAGTTCGAAGTGTACGACATTGACAGTGACAACTGCAGTCTGCAAAATTCTGACTTCCTGGGGGAACTGGAGTGTACCTTGGGACAGGTAACAGTCCTCTTTGCCTACTTCAACAGTTCATTTATTATACTCCTCATGCTTCTTTCTTTCTAAGAATTAGAATTGGAAGTGGTGTTGGTTCTGTGGCATTTCTAGTGATAAGTAAGATGATTCAGCAAGGTGTTTTTCTGTTCAGATTGTGTCCTCACGGAAACTAACAAGACCACTTGTCATGAAGGACAAGAGGCCTGCTGGAAAAGGAACCATTACCGTGAGTTGCTTTCATTCAGACTGGAGCATTACGGATATTTGGTTCTAAGTGTTCATGGTGTATGTTTCTGGTTTTGCAGATATGTGCTGAAGAAAGAACTGACAACAGAGTGGTGGAATTAGACGTTGCAGCTAGAAAACTGGATAAAAAGGTATTGATTACCACATTGGAATTATTTTTAAGGATTCAGACATATTCATACAGATGATCTTACTGGAGTTCAGAAATGTCACTGTGGTCTTTCACTATATAAATTACAACATGTCAGGTCTATGGCGGCTACAATGATACTATGTGGAGACCGCAAGAACTGTGATTGGTCAGCTTGACATTGTGTTTTATCCTACAAGTTAGTTGACAGTGAAGGCAACACTAAACAAAATGGATTCTGTTGCTTTTCACTAACACACACCTAGAAAAACGATTCCACTGCTGACGTTCACAATGAATCAAAGGTTGTAGAGAGATTGAAAGAGTTACCTGGATGTAATTCCAGTTGCATAAGTAAATTACAGAATGTAAACACAGCTACTGTAGGGGATGTAATTAAAGCTTGATACAGTCCGACCACGTATGATCATGTACATCCATCTAGTCTAAATTATTACCTCTGGTCTAGATA